GTACGGATCCGGCTCATGTGTGTGTCTTGCTTTAATTTGCGACCAGTCCGTATTCGTAACGGTGATTGACAAAACAGAGCAAATCGCCGGCATAGATGGAGAGTATTTAGGGAGCCTGTCAGCAGCTGAACTTTTATTAAAGGCCGCCTGTGAGATGTTATCATATAACAAAATCTCCGCTTCCTCTACCGCAGCCCCCCGATTCAATTAATGTTTGCCATTTGGAGGGTCACTTTGCGAGGAGCCTTCAGATGGTTTTGCTAACGTCTGTGACATCATGTCTGAATCAGAATGGGCTGGTTCAAACATTTGTTGTATCTTTTTCTGCCCGGCACAGTCGTCTGGGGAGATGTAGGCCTCACGTCTGCGGTGACCAGTAGTGCATACAGTAGATAGGAGGGATGACCTGGGGCAATCCTCTCCGTCCGGGCTCTGCCTTTGAAAGGTTTGCCATCCTCCCTCCACTCCTAGATTGCTCCAGCATATGTGTGTGAGGGAGTGTGTTTTTCTACGCCTCCCGGCGCTGTCGCAGTTCAAAACCGCCGTTTTCTCGAAAGGGCTCCGGGTGTCAGCGTAACGTGACAGGCAGCAGCAGCGCTACAAATCCAGGGTCAGGGGGGAAACGATGTTTACTGGGGATTTAAGCGGGCTCATAATTTACAAGGCAAAGAAGATCAGATTCCCTTATGGAAACTCTGGAAAACAGACAGACTGCAATTGAGCAGAAAGAATTAGGAAATAGACTGCAGGAAAAGCAGCTTTATCTAAATTCAATGTAGGTGAATGACAAAAAGCTAAAAGAAAACAAACTCTTCCCTGGTACAAACTTGAACAAGTCACGTGTGAAGGACCGCTGCCAGCTGGGTCACGGAGCACCAACTACCGCTTTTCACTACCAATGAAGGAGAGAGCCTGCATCTGTTAATCTGTCTTTCTCATTTGTATATTTTATTGCTGTGGGAAACCTCCGAAAAAGCAGGGGAGCAGGAGGGAGTTTTCCAGTCCTTGTGAGGTATGAAGTCCAGAACCGGCCTGGCCCTCTGCGGGACCCACTGTGCTGCCGTCTGGGGACACAACCTCTAGGGTCGTGCTTTGAAAGATTCTTGTGCTAGACTGGTCTTTTTTCCCCGGAGTGGTGACTGTTTTGGTTGACATAAACCCTGATTGGCGTCAGACCGTGGAGAGAAGGGGTGCGTTGGCTTCTTTGGCAACTAATAATAAGGATGTGATGCACGGATGGAGGGCCTTGTCAAAAATCTTGAATTGAAAAGTTAACTAGAAGCGACTGAAAAGAAATTCCACAAAGATAAAAAAATCAAATGAAATGTTATATGTTATGTAAACAATGATATTGGTTTAAAGTTACATTCGCACCCTCAGGCCACACAAATAGTCATATACTCCTGAAACACATCCACAGATGTTGCAATATGCATTCAATACGAATAAACACGCTCTTGCAAAACAAATTGTTCAAAATTGTCATTAAACAGAAGTTTGACACATCATTAAACATACTTATCTAGCCCACCTTTTTGTGTTTCATGGGGCCTGAGCAGAGAAAGATGTATGAACGCTTATGTTTGCAAGCATTTCTCATTCTTAGTACTATTCTTTTTTTTTTTCAAATTGAATTGCACTTTTTCAGAACGTTGAAAAAGTGCAATTCATTGAAACCTTTTCCTTCAGAAAACTGTGTTCTTTTGGCGAGTCCATTTTAGTAAATTTCAATAGAATGTCACGACCACTGAAATGATTATAAATCAGTCGTATCAGATCCAGATGTTACCAAATTCAAATGACATGACCACTTCTATACTCAAAACACATGTCTGTGCACATACCCTGCACAAGCTCTCAAGTCAACAAGTGATATCTTTTATATTTTGATGTCGAACTTCTGAGCGATTTGCTGCTGAAACCTCAAAGTTTGGTTAGAATATGTGCCATCCTTTTATGATGCGACTGTAGAAATAAAAACAAACTAACTATGCATACAAGGTGAGGTTTGTGGTCTGGATCATATGTGGTGTTCTTGGTATTTTGGCATATGGCTCCAGCTCCCTCTACAAACTCAGACCCGTCCACTACATCCCTGTAATCACCAATAGTGGCACACACGTGTCAAGTTGAACAAAAAAAAGCCTGTTGATCCCCATCAAATGGCAATTCGGCACTTTTGATTGGAATTCTTGTCTTGGGAACGTTTATTTGAGACTGCATGTTTTCACCGATCCCACCTACAAATCGTGATATATCCTAGATATAGGAGCGTACAACTTTTCTCATTTAAAGTAATGGGAAACTTGAGGCTTTAACTTGATCTTTGACCCATTACTTTATTCTACTTATTATTACTCTTTTCAACTCCAAACATGTTCGGGTAACAAACAACCCATTGAGGATGCATCATATAGAATGAAATAACTGTGTCACAAAAGATTTATTTCTGGGTCACACTGATTTGCAAAAGAAACTGATCTGATATTTCTGTCAGAACTCCCAAATACTTTTACTTATGTGTTGAAATAGCAGTCTATGATGAAATTTAACAAATTCTGTTGTACTGCTTCACTCTTTGTGGTATCTCAGTGTAATCCTCTTTAGCTGTTGTGCTTTAGGAGACAGCTTTCAGATATATATTTCCTTCAGTTGCAGAGATAAAGCCTGGAGCAAATTAGCAAATGACACGTTTGAGTTTCCGTTTCACTTTTCCATCTTAAACACGCTTTTTGTCGTTGTTTTTTTGCACTAAGCAAAGATCCAGAAATGCTGCTGCCTCCCTTCACTTTCAAATGTTTACAGAGTGTTGTTAAAGGATTGGGGGTGGTGGGGGGATGGGGTAAAGGTTTTCCGGTCTTAACCTTTTACAAATGAGGCCCAGGCATGCGATTCTTCACAGTTTTTTTTTTCTATTGTTGACCATGTCTCAGCTAAACACATCACATTGCTTTGCACAGCATCCCCATGTCTCAACTCTCAAATTTCAGTTTAATGAGACTATGCAAATGTTCCTTTAGCTGTTGGAACAACAAGTTGCCGTATTATTGTATTGCATGCATCTTCAATGGACGATCAGTGGAAAATAAAGTCCTGAGTTACTTTAAAACTAGGAACCGCTGGGTGTCGTGGGGTCATAGACCGACCTCCCTGCACCCGCCCTCCCTTCTGTATTTCACAACCACGATGGGCCGTGACCTGTTTGTGCATCTGCCTGTTTTGTCTGTAAAAGAAGCTGTGTCAATATTGGAGAAGCAGTAACTCACTGATATGCTGGATTGTTCAATAAGGCTTCAGTGACAGGAGCCCATGGCCAAATAAGGTGTGCACAAACAGGCCCACTTCCGAGCAAACACTTTTCAACACACAAGTGCTATCATGCTCACACCACGCATGTACAATAAAGGAGGGGTCAAAGGCAGTCGAGGGAAGAAAGGAACTGAAAGGAAAGCAGCAGATGTGAGAAAGGTTTTTAACTTTTACGTTTTGTGTCCACTAAAAATCACGTGTTCTTGGAAGTTGCTCATCCACGCACAAATGCTGCTGATAGATCCAGTTATTAGAGACTGTTTAAAGTTGTCCATTCCTGTCAGTTTTCCATTCAAAAAGGGCCTTTCATCATTTCTATGTCCAAGCGATGTGAAATAATAAAACTATTTCTCATTTACATAATGTCTTAGATCAGTGAGGGTCAGTTTAGCATCATACTTAGCTTATTTATAGTGGAAAGCACTCATCTAAAAACTGTCAAAATTCTCTGTATCTCAACTGAAGCTGACTTTTTTCAATTCTATTCACTTTTTACATGTCTATTGTGGTTGTACCACTCACAGTCGTACAATTCAATGATGATAGCAGCTGCACAGTTCACTGTGGACCTGTTACACATTTTGATTAACCAAAAGAAAGTATATAAAAGTGCAATTGTGAGCTGTGCTTGGAGGATTTGTCTTCATGTCTTTTCCGTGTATACTCAAAATATGATTTAGATTAAACTGTTCATATCGAGCTTTAACAAGTACGGAGTATTTTTCTTTGCAGACAGGAACAAAGAGGATAAAGTGGTATAAAAAAAAGTTTTTTTTTTAAAAAAGGCTGCTGATTATCTGACCTTGACTTTTTTTTTTCCTGTGAAACAATGTAGCTTTGAGACATTTTTAGTTGAGAACAGAGAGTTCATGTGCTACCTAGTTTCTGAGCTCCTCGTGGAGAGCTGACAGCTGGATGAACTGGCGATTCCGACCTACCATGGTAGTGTGTTAGCTCTGTGCGACTCTCCCCCGGATCACATTATCACAACTCTGAACACAGAAAGTGGAAATGACCTGTGCGGGTGTAATTGTGCATTAACTGTTTTCACTGTGCATTCCTGTGACTTTCTAAAAAGGAATGTGAGGTCAAACATCACCCATCTGGGACAAATGTTAAGGATCACTCCCAAATAGCGTTTGACATCAGTGTGGTGTGAACAACACCTCCTATGCCCTCTTGAGGGGACTCATTTTCTTCCATGCTGACAGACAGCTCTTGTTCTCGGGTACTGAAGCTGTCCCTGAACAATCACAGAGTTCTGATTTTAAGTGCTCGAACCATATAAAATGGTGGCACATGTGCTGCTTTACGAAAATATAATGCATATTAAAATGATAAATTCTAGAAATGACTCATGATTCATAGTCCATTAAAGGGTGAGAGTAAAATCTGTCTTTGGTCATGGGAATTTTTCCCCTCGTGAGGCTTTTTTTTTTTTTTTGGCCTGCCTCATTACACAAAAGTCTCTGAACCAGACGCACACTGATTTGTTTTCTCAGTGTCTTACATTGTCATTTAAACTCCAACCGGGGTGGAAAAAGAGACACAGAAGGCCGGGCTCCCTGTCGAGCTTTTTAAACTCGGTTGATGAGGTTTGATTAAAATGGCTGAAACCCAAACCCCCGCTCTGTGTGTGTTCACTTTCAATCACGAAGGCTCACACACATGTTGTTGGTACAACACAACCCCTGGAGCAGGACCTACCGGTACCTAGCGAGCTGCGAGCTGCTCTGTCTCTCCGCGTGCGTGTCGTCTTTAAATCATCTCTGCTCGCCAGGGGAGCACCCTTCACCTCGTGACCCCTCAAATCTGCAGTTTAGCACCCAGAGCCAAGAACAGGATGAACTTAACTTAAAGGGAGCATGCAAAACATCTGGAACGCCTTAACCGCAACTAAATAAATAGGTGGGAGAAGACCGGCGTTTTTTTTTTACGTGGCTCGTTTCGAGTCACGTGACCCCCCTCGAAAAAACACGATGGCTCTCATTTCAGGTGGAGGCAAAAAAACACTGATCTCACCGTCACAAAACCGTGCGTTTCAGGGAACACGCGTAAAGGAGGGATGAGGCGGGCCCCGGCCCCGTTTCGCTGTTTGTTTTTCTCTGATCTACACTAGGTTTCTGTGTGTCAGGATGTGTGACATGCCTGACATTCAGTTCCTTTCGCACAAATCGGTTAATCTCAGTGTCACGTGCTTTGAGGACAAAGCCTCCCCTCAGGTGTGAAGTTTACCTGATGGTCTGCGTGCGGCTTTTGAAGTGCGACGGTACGCCAAACAAAAATACCTCAGAGGTTAGCTAAGAGGAGACACTTCCTGCTGAGACAACAACAATGACGTCTCTCGCCAAACGGGATGACGGGATCCTCTCTGTATCACAGAAACTCAAAAGTCTTATCTAATGCAAGTTGTAAGAGGCGGAGGGCAGAGCTCCAGTTTGTTTAGGTGTAAGTGGGTAAAGAGCGACATCTGTGGACAGAAGCATGCACACGCTGTTAACCGCTAACACAAAGCAGGAAATAATAAACAGTTTGATTTGTTCGTGTCCAAAGCAATGTCAGATACAGTGGGGTAAATAAGTATTTGACCCCCTTGCTGATTTTGCAGGTTTGCCCACTTACAAAGAATGCAATGATCTAACTTTAATCATATGTACATTCTAACAGTGAAGACAGAATCCAAAAGAAAATTCCAGAAAATCACATCACATGAATTTATAAAAAATGATAACCATCTGAGGATGAAAAATAAGCATTCTTTGTAAGTGGGCAAACCTGCAAAATCAGCAAGGGGTCAAATACTTATTTCTCCCACTGTATATGAGGTCCAGATACGTCTTCATTCATTACGTCTTTCATTAAGAAAAAACAACAACGCAACAGAAGCAAATGTATCACTAAGAATTAAATAATCCAATAGGTGGCCGTGTTTATTGCCTGCTTGTGCAGACTCGTCAAGTTTGTCTGGTACAGTCATATTTAAACTTCAAGGCAAACTAAGCCTTCAATAAAAGATTTGTCAAACTTGCCAAACTGCCTTCAGTTGCCAATTCAAATGTGTGCCATGTTAAAAAAAAAAAAAGAATAGTTGGTCCACAACTGCCTGTTTAAAACTGATTTCTCCTTCAAATGTATAGTGCACATGTAAATGGAAAAAACAAAGCATGGAAGAAATACAGAAAAAATGTTTATGATATCTATAACCAGCTGTAGGGAAAATAAACAAACAAGATTACTCATCTGAGTCATTCTGACAGGTGCAAATATGCAAATATTCAAGTAAAAAAATCTGCTGGTTTTATGCATTATTTGTCTCCACATTGTATCAAAATCAATGATAGAAGTCAACTGATGGTTCCTCCTGGTGTGCGACTGCTGACACTTAGTGGACATGAGTGGACAGTGCAACTATGGAGTATTTTGTCATCATTCGTAGGGAAACGCCGCCCTGGATCTAAGCAATGTTTAGCAAATAATTGAGCATTGAATCATTGTATTTTAGAGTTTGATTTGTAATAAAAACGTTCAGAGCAGGTAAAATATAGGACAACCAGTTTAAATCCCTCTTAATTCTTTATTTTTTTAGCCTTTAAATCCTCTTCCAACTTGTTCTACAAGTGCATGATAAGATCTGCTTTTGCACTGACTAAACATTACCCTTGTTTGCATTTTCAACATACACACTTTAGGACCTTTTATCTCTAATCTGGAAAAGAGTTCCACGGCAAACTTGCATTTGAAAAGCAATTGAACAGCCCCTTTTCTTTTTCTCTTTGAAAATGCATTTCATAAAGCTTGATTGACATGTAAATCCCTGCTTCTCAGTCAGTGTAGAATACACTGCTGGTGTACATATCAACACCTGGTCTAGTTTGTTAATGATTCAGTGACAGATCCCTCCTGTTCTTGTGATATTTCAACCTAATCTCTGTTAACATGAAAAAATCCTACACTGTGCTTGCCCCTTTGGGCAAATACATCTCCTTTTTGCTCTTTTAACAGTTAGATAACTGTCTTTTATCCAACGATGCTTCCAGGCTGAAAATTCTGCATGACTGATTTGTCCTCATTAAAAGTCGGATACCTCACATGATAGCATTTCTTTTATAAAGTGGAGGGAAAAAACTACTTGTTCCCATTGGGAGCTCATCCCAGGTGACAATGGGTAACATGGATGTTTTCGGATGGGGGGCACCTATACAGAGAGGGAACATGTAAACTCCACACAGGAAGGGCTCTGGTCCCCAGGGGACTTGGACCAGGAACCAGGAACAGTACTAACCACCACACCACTGTGTCACCCGACAAACAGGGGAGGGAAAAAAAGTATCTTTATTTTAGGTGTTTCCATTTGAACACCTTCTAACAGTTATCGTAGCACCTACTCGTTTGGGGTTCCAATTTCGGCTGACGTCAAACTGTAGACTGCTAATTCGCATGGGATTCACAAAAGATCTTTTTTAAATGGAGCGACAACAAACGCCTCATCTAATTTTTCTAAATCTATTGATCTCACTCGTAAAAATCAGCAGACGAGCCATCAGCACCAGAACGGTCAGATGCTAAGAGTCGGTTGCTCAGAAAACATCATAGAAGATCTTCAAAAGGTTAGAGTCAGTGCTGTGGTGAGTTTTAAACCCATGGGCATAAACAATCTTTTCCTGGAGTTTGGACAAATGAGGTAGGGCTTCATGACCTGACAGCTTTGAAGGTTGACAAATGTATCCAACTTTATGTGAGAATACCTGAGGTCATGCAATCTCTCTGAAGTTCTGAAAGAGACAAACCCTTTTGTGAAGAATTTTTAGATATTCAATTTGAAAAGTGCTGAGCAAATTCATCAGACATATTTAATCGTAAGCACTTTGTTAAAAGCACTTCCAATGTGCATGACTTGATGTATGTAAAGGGACATTTAAAAGATGGCAAATTTGAGAAAAAAAGATGTAATAACTTAATGGAATAAAACACAATGAAAACCTGCATAATTAAAAGCTCTCTGATGTGTTTGTGGGTGTAGAAACGTACTGACTGTAGCTCCTTTTGTCATTAAATAAACTACATGCCCCAGTATTAATGTATTAAATGAATTAAAGCATTAAACTACCTCATGACTAATGATGACTCATGATGTGGGGGAAGTGCAGTAGGAACAAATGTGTCCTGAGGAAAACAGGGCAGGGATGCTCAGAGACGACAAAAACTGCATTATGAGATCAAACCACAAAGAAAGACCAGGTTATTATAGATCCACATGGTTTTAATGATGTCTTTTTTACATATTAAATGATATTTTAATGATAGTAATGAACATTCCCCGGAGGTGCTCAATAAAAAAAAACAAGAAAAAAAAACATCCACTCACTCCCCTTGTAGGTTTTGGGTTGAATGTCTTTACTTGTTCTCAAGGGTAAGAAACATCCAATTGGAAAAACATTTAGAACAGAATTTCCCTTTACCTACACAGTTGTGATCCTGTCTTTGATGCGTCACTTTAAATTTCCATGCAAAACCAAAAATCTTTCTTTGCTTGTAATCAAAATGGCTTTAATTACATTGAATCGTATCTTATTTATGGCGCTCTTGTCGCCCATGTACCCCACCCCGTGCAGAATAAACAGAGGACAACATAATATAAAGCTGCCGTAAGATAATCCAAAAGCAGGAGATAATTAAAGAGGAGAATATTCTTATCCAGAGTGTACAGAATCCTCCCAAAAGAAGAGGGACACACAGCCATACCAGCTGTAAACGTGACGACCGGCATGGCTCGCATTACCGTAAACATTCTAAAAGCCGATTGACCAGTCGATCTTTGAAAACCCTTCAATGGAGGAGAGTGAACCCACCTGACAGTCAATACACAAAGAGCAAACCGTCAAAACATAACTTTCTTCAAATGTTTTAGCTTCAAAGGTGCAAGCGCCAGAGGCATTTCCTGATCTTTAGAGCAGACGGTCGAAAGGTGAAAAGGGGAGTTTGAATTGCAGGATAAAATTGATGGGAAATTACAAATTCGTTCATTCGATTCACATTAAGTATTCGTCGATGCTACAAAATGCAATCTTCGAACTTCTTAGCAGTTATGACCAATGTGATAATCATTAGAGGTCCTATAGATAGTACTCTATTTTTCAGTTAAACTAAGAATGTGTGCTACTTCTGGGTCAAAGTAACTGTAAGTAATTGTAAATGTTGCACTATAGGCTATAAGAAAAGTGAATATCTTTCACTTTTTCAAGAACAGATCCTACATAAATATAAAAAACCCAATTCTGATAAAAGCTCAAGTCACAGCTAAAACAATAACATTTTTGTGGATTGTTAGAGGTCTAAAGATTCCAACCTAACTGATCAACCAACATCTGCATCCTGCTGGTGTTGCTGAGCTGCAGCAAATTTTTGACATATTTCGGTTTTGGGGGCATGAAACTCACTGATTATAGAGCAACGACTGAAATACAGCCGAGGAATAAGAATTGTGCGCCACAGTGATTCCCAAGTCTAGAATCTTTTTTAATCACAACACCCCCTGTTGTATCATAGCTTTTTTTCCCCAAACTCTTTCTCTCCTATATGATGGAACTGGAACAGTATCCACGACTCCCAAATTTACGAGAGACACTCGAAGGCAACGCCTACACTTACGAAAAAAGGCTGGAGAAAGAATGTCGTTGCGCATCTGTTGGAGGTTTTAAGGCGAGCCCTCCGGTCGGTTTTGTACGTGGCAGCGCGTGGAGCCCCTCTCTGTGCTGTCCGTGACGCCGCCGTGCCAAGTGGGATTCCGTTCACACACCGAGCGTGCCCAGCTTTTCGCAAAACCCACTGGAGTTAAGGTAAGCGGACATTACTGTGTCACAGACTGCCACAGAAGCTATTCTTGACGCCACTGCAGATACACTGCCTGCCTGCCTGCCTCCCAAACACACCGGGATGGTTGTCCAGTTACGTCCAACAAGCGTCTGCAGTTTTTTTTAAAAGGTGTCCAAAGAGGTTTTGAGTGCCGAGGTGGGGGGGTAATAGCAATTTACTGTTACGTCGCGAGGCCTGCGTTTATTTCTGACTCGTTTGTAACAGGGGGCACAGTCGGGTTGCAGAGCTTCACAGCGGACAGGGAGAACGTTTTGAAACTTTGCGCGAAGTTTCTGACCAAGCATCTCAGTGGGTGTTGTTCCTACGTTGTCTTTTTTTTACACTCGCGAACTGCGAAAACAAAGGCATGTCAGTCACATTTGAAATGGCAGCTCGAGGAATTATTAAGCCGCGCGTGCGTTGGACGGGCAAGGGGTATTTTAAGAAGTTAGACATACTCGCCCGGAGGGGTGAGTTTGGGGCAAGTTCTAGAAACAACTTTCTGGCGGTGACGTCACCGCGGTGGCTCCGACCCAGCTGCAGATGATGAGGAGCAGGCTGGAGGAGAGGAAGCGTTCAAGCGGTGCCTGGAACCACTATTCCACTTGAAAATGTTTGTATTTTCAGACACTTCTTGGTTTCACGACCAAATAACAAAAAATACAAAAAAAAAAAAAAAAGAATCTCTGAAATGTCCCAGCTGGTCTAAAGTAAATTGGTTCAATATAGCTTATATCAAATTCAAACAATGGAGAAAAAAAATGCCTCCATTTATTTTTTGTTTGCCTTTTTTTTTATTGCTGGGTAAACATTGCACGAGTAAAAAGAACAAATCCTGAAAGTGGGGTACTTTTTGTGTCAAATTCCTGTTTCTCAGCTTTTGAGTGGTGACCCGCAGCCTGTGTGACAATATTTGTTTGAGGAAGTAAAAGCCCTGGTCTTTGTCCACTTTTTGTAAATGGTGCATAATGGGAGCACCAGGCCTTGGTATAGAAGCACTGTGTTACAAGCCGACATAATAATGCCCTGCGGTGATTTGTACACAGCGTCGTGGCGTTAACTGGCTTTTGCTGCCTTGGGATAGGACCGTCAGAGTGGATGTCATGATGTCAGTTGAGATCAAGCAGGGAGGCAGGTGACCCGCTTCCTCAGGGAATGATGATGTCTTCCATCTTTAGATGTATCATCATCCATCCCTATCTGTTTACAGGCCCACTCTTATACATTTTTCTGGCTGCGCTTTGTTAGGGAAGGTTCACTTCCTTTGTCTTACAGCAAGGAAATATAGAATCGAAGTGTATTTCTCACATTAATGCCAGTTTGCTTGTTCACCTCTTATGTGATATTTAGTGGAAATGTGCCGTCAAAGTGCTTAAACCTTGGATGGGCCGAGTTTAGACTATATCTGATGATCACAGCCAATACTGAGGAGATTCGTTGTTTAATTGATCTAATCTTGTCTGTCTGTAAGAACTCTCAAAACCTTTTTTTTTTTAAAAAGCACTTATATTGATGAAAGCAGAGTGTGGTCTAATAAAGGTGGAATGCCTTTTGGCTCCCTGCAGTGGAATTAAAATGCGCTGGGAAAATGCTAAAAGACAAGTCTGAATCTGAAATCGTTTTCAGTGCTTGAAGAAGGTTTGGTGTTTGGAGGACAGCTGGGGTTTGTCTGAGCATGTTTCCAGTCTGAGCATGCACATGCTTTATCTGGTGCACTACATACATGTGCCTGTCTGCAGATGGAGTGTGATTTTGTTAGGGCTGATCAGCCTATCTTACAGATTACTATCGGCAAGGAAAATAGCTGTTTAGCTTCAGCATTCGGGCACTGCATCGGAGCACCAGGCAGCTCAGTGTGGAAGTATCTTTTATCTCTGGAAAGTGACTCTCATTGAGTAAATGGCTTTCTTACATAGCCTCGCTGATTACCACTAGTACAAAGCTCCCCCATCATTTCATAAAGGAACTTCTTTTTATTAAATTCAGGGTTGATTTTTATTTATTTTGGCCCTAATGTGACTGCAGACAGCTGCTCCTGGGTGCACACATGTTGTTTTCTTTGGGTTTGCAGCGGATTGTGAACGGTTTACCGTTTGGTGTAAACACTTGCTCCTCAGGAACCCTGCCCCAGCGAAGACCTTGGATCCTGACTGCTGTTGCCAGAGTTTGTGCTGCTCCTGGTTCATATCTCCCCCAAGAAGCCACGCCCACATTAAACATTGCTGAGGTCTGAAGAAACCGTACTTATTTTTAACTCGCAAGTTGTTCAGGTCAGTTGTGGAAATGGGTTACGCATTGCTTCATTGGGCTTTTTTAACATGGAAAAAAAAAGTGAGTATAGTTCACAATACATGAAGGGTACAACAAGTTCCAAATGCAGCCATCCTTTTTTGCCCATTGCGCTTTTCTTCTGCATTCTGCGTCGATGCCAGGCAGAGGTCAAGACCCAGATACATCCATTTAGCTAAATGAACAGCATTCTTGTTCAGGAATGCAAAATCATTAAAGTGTTAACAACCTGCAGCAACAGGCACAACTGTGTTGCAGCTGAGCAGTTGTCCTGGATGCAAATTACAGGGGGAACGATTTGGTCATTTAAAGAGCAGTTTATCTCTGGAGCAATAATTATTTCAGCCAGTACTTAAGCCTTAAGTGCTGAGAGGTAAGAAGCTCACTGTTAAGTTAAGAACTGGTGAAATGTATCAAAAGCTGGATTATGGGGTGTTTTTGCCATATTGTTTAATTATAACACTCAAGGACGAAAGATCTTTGTGAGTGATTTTTACAACACAATCATAACAACACTGTCGTGTCTTTGTAAAGCACAGGAAACAAAGGTTTATTGAAATTTCTTTACTTCGGCTAAATATTAACTATAAGTGCCATAGACTCTTTGTCCATCCAGGCTATAACCATGTTGACTCAGCTTTGAGTGTCAGGTATATAAGTGGAGGCTTTAAGCTGGACAGTTAGGCAGGAACAACTTATTTATTTTGTTTTAGATGATTTGCATGATTCATTAAGTCTCTCTGCAATACGACCAAAAACGTTGGGCTGTGTGGCCCAGTTGTTGTCTAAATGTTTTGATATAACAATGCTGGCATTGACTTACAAACCCACGTGCAGTGTGGTAGGTATGACTGCTGTGTAATAACTATAATTACAAATCTTGTCAAACTAAAAACAGTGAAAAAGGGTTATTTCTGTGCACCGGCATGATTAGATGCAATTTTAACTCGGTGTACAGGCTAAAGCATTTCACAGACATCCCCCAGAGCAGCTCTCTGTTTGTAGATCTCCTCAGAGCAAGTCTGGAAAGTCTGCCCTGATGAGCAGATGCATTTGTCACAAATAGGCAAGATTCCCCTTCTCTTTTATGTCAGATTTGTCCTTTCTCAATAGAATGATAATGTCATTGACAAAGTTGCGGCATTTTTAGTTAGTGCAGGAAAGTTGTTTTTTACCAACAGTAAAAGTGTGCATCTTGTGAGCAGGTGTGATGTAAATCTGGAGCGAATTCCCCAACAAGGCATAATCTTAAATCATCCGTTTTGTGTTTGAGATTCTCTTTCTCTCAGCCTCTTATTATATGGTGGTGTAGACAGAACACTGTGTATGTCGGCGCTTGTGTTTGGTTGGACGGACGGACGTGTGTGTGTGTGTGTCTGTGTGCATGTTTCACGCAGCCAACAGTAAACAGTAATTTCTCAGAGCCGTTGTAAACTAAAGCTGGACAAAATCCATGTGGGGAAAGTGAAGCTCTCTCAATCACAGCCTGTGAACAGTAAGCTCTCACAGCTCATGTTCCTCTTGCCCCAGATAGCTCTGCTCACACACACCATTACAACGTGGATGTGTTAAGGCTTCAGCACTGGCCTTTGAATTGATGCCAACTGCCCAGCCTTCACTTTGGTTTAGACATACTTGAAACCTATTTTGTCTAATTTGTGATACACACTTGTCACCATTGTATTGCAAGATGTCAGGTGCTGTTCTTGTATTGAGGTTACACTTTTGAGACCCGGCTCAGAGTTAGCTTTGGTTTGTGCTCTGTTATGCACATCAGTGGACATCTGGTGGCCACGTTGAAGTAATAAAATCAAAGGAGAAAAAAAAGCGATGGACCTTGCTTGAGCCCCGACCTCATGCAGATACAGAGAGGTGGCTTCTAAAATATTCACTCTGTTTCTCCACTTTTCATATTTAGTCAAATCTGGACATAATACGCACTGATGGTTCATTCATAAGAAATGTGGAAACTTTATTTTTGTGTTAGACCATCTGCAATTTTCAAATGGAAACACATAAAATGCCAGCTCTGTGTAATGCAAATAGGGTTTTTCTAAATTTGATTTGACAAAAAGAAGGAAACCAGAGTCTCAAATGTGGTAATGAACAGCCTAAAAGCTTTAGAGAAATCGGGGACATAAAAAAGACCCATTCTTTTGTTCTGTGATGAAAACTGTGTGCTATTCTTTTGCAGCTTCTCAAACAGAAGAGCATGAGGAAGTCTTTGTTTTCCTTTATCTCCGTGGTTCTGCTCTACTGTTGCTGGACAACACATGGAGAGGTCTTCACCTCCATCGGTAGGTTTAAAGACTTTTTCGTCTTAAATTAAAGCTTTTAATATTTTCGTGAATAGGTTTGCAAAGAAAAGAAAAAAAGGGTAAAAAAAAACTTGCTCTCATTTCTGGTCACAGCCAGATGCAAAACATCTGCTTTTCCTTCTGAGGATTTATAGATCAAGATGTAAAAACAAAATCATCTGGCACATCTGGCCTTGAAATTATGCAATACGTCTTCCAGTGAAAATCAACCAAACACTACTCATGTAGAGTTCCTTTTCTTATGAAACAAAGACCAAACTGAGTAGCAGAAGCAGCTTTTGTAGAAAATGTTTTTGGCATCCGCAGAAATAAAGAAGGTGAGTGGCAGCCAGGTGCTGCTGCTACTCTTGAACTGATCTTCAATAAGCGTGAACACCAATTAAATGACATATTGGCAGATTGCTGGTCTGGAACCCTCATGGGTGTGTTAACATGTGACCCCAAGGAATGACGGTATTGGCAACTCACAAAAGAAGGCTGCAATTAGAAGAAGTTTAAATACTTTTTGTTTGTTACTGGAGAATTCCTTCTCTCTCTCTTTCTCTCAGAGAGGCTCTACACTACAGCAAACATACAACACTTCAAGAACGGTTACATTCCAAGCCATCTTTAGTTTGGAAATTTAATTCACACATTTAGTTAATCTTTTGGGAGGTTCTCTCTTTTTTTTTTTTTTTTTAAAGAAGATGAAGACACACTGAACTGGCTGCATCTTTTAGTTCAATGAATCCCAGCGATTTGCTGCAGTTCCCTGGGCAGTTATTCAGTACTGAATGTTTTTTTTATGGCTCCTAGCCATCTACGTGTGTCTGACTTAAAGGTTTACAAAGCCCACTAAAGCCTAAGAATCTCTTCAAAGACTTATGGTTTTAAAAGTCAGCTGTATATTCACCCAAGCTCTGCAAAAACAGCAGTACACTAAGACAAAATGGATCAAAGGCATTTGTGAGGTCTAAACCTGCTCATTATGCAAAACTGTCAGCAGCAATGTATGTCTGATGCCGGTGGTATCTCCTTTGCCTTCTCTGCAGGCCAAATGACAGACCTGATCCACACAGAAAAGGAACTGGTTAAGTCTCTGCGGGAGTACATCAAAGCAGAGGAGTCCAAGCTCCATGCTGTCAAAAGGTACACTGTGAGCTCTGTAACCTGGTGCCGGAATGCGATTTTTGTATGCATTTCATTTGAAAACATCAGGTACAATAAAACATTTTAAAAAGTTTGTATGTTTTTGCTCTATGCTTCTTTGCTGGGGAAATGCTGTTATACTGTATGTTGTTCTCTGCATAGACAGTAAGTCACTAGTTGTACTTTATTAAAACTGTTGTAAATCCATGTATAAAACAGAACGTTGCAGAAGATTAACATTGCTAAAGCACTGTTATGATAAAACATTAGTTTCTGCTCTAACAGTCTTTCTTAGGTGTCTGGGGCCCACTGTGTGCAGAGTTGTGTTTTTGTTAAGTCTTTAGCACAACAGTTGGCTGATGTAGTGGAAAGAAAGTGCCTTTCGGCCAAAACATTATCACCACAGTTAGGCCCCCTCCAAGTGAATGTGCGTAAATGTGGTCACGCGTCAGTTTTTGTTGTATTAGAGACAGTCTGTCTCCCTCTTTTAGCTGGGCCACGAAACTCGACGCCCTCACCAGACTGTCCACCTCTGACCCAGAGGGTTACCTGGCTCACCCAGTAAATGCCTACAAACTTATGAAGAGGCTCAACACAGAGTGGTCTGAACTAGAGAGCCTGGTGCTTCAGAACCCATCTGATGGTAAGAAGACAATCTCACGAACAAGAGGATGACTGCTCAAATATGGTGGGATCCTCGTTTGCTTTTGGGTGGAATGTTTTCTTTTTGGTTATGTTATCCTTCAAACAAGCTATTTCAACCACTAAAAATGAACTGCTGGCAAAGAGGAAACATAAGTCATCTTAACAAATTAAGTCCCCTTTTATCTTCTGATATAATTTTTTCCAGACCATTTTGAAACTATTACTAACGTCTGCTACCCTGGTCAGCACACATTTCTTCATTCTGTGTTTTTTGTGTAGCAACATTGAATTTGTGCATTCCTTTTTAACAAGAGGGGCAGCAGCCATGTTTTCTGTGCAGCTTAGCAAGGAGCATGTGGAGAGCACAGTTCAGAAAGTCGAGGGGATCTTAGCAGAATGATGTATGATTAGAATTGTTTTAATTTCCCTGGAAATCTGGCAGGAAATATTGCTCAACAACTTTGTCACCCGAAGCAAGAGATTAAAAACAGTTGATGTTTTAGCAGCAGCTGCTCCCCGTCCATGCATATTTTGGCCATGTTCTCACTTGGTGTGTGGGTGTGTACGTGTTTGTATGTCTGTGTGTACGTGTCAAGACACGGGATCGTATCTGTGTCAGTATCCTTGAAGAGGGAAAATGTACATTTTTTTCAAATGTACAATCTCAATGCTGATTTTCAATGGGGGGGGTCCAGTGTGAGTTACAGGTGGGGTTACAGGTGATTGACAGGTGGGGTCTATACATTTTTATTACAGAAACCGATGTCTCAATGATCTCTGAAAAGGGCATCATTTGGTACAACCTGCAGTATTCAGGCCTTCCATTAATGTTGGAACAGCTCACACATTTAGTCCTCTCCTTTCCAACTTGAAGCCTTTTTCCAAAAAGGAAGGATTTTTAACAGAGCTCTGTTTGGAAAATATTGCACTCTGATTTCTTAAATGATATGCTACAGTTGGATTAAAATCTTTGTGAGAAGGAGAATTTTCAGAACCACGTTCTAAATTTAGCAAGGAGCCAGTAAATAGATGGTGACACTGAACTAAATGGCTGTAGAAAGACATTTTAAAGAAAAACAGTAACTGGTTGGTCATTATTTAGCTGTAGAAGTGCCTGTAAGTCGCCCACAGTTTTTCTTTAATTTTGCTCTAAAGCTGCCCTGCTATCTTTTCAGGCTTTATCTCAAACATGACTACACACAGACAGTACTTCCCAGATGCGGAGGATGAGACGGGTGCAGCCAAGGCACTGATGCGTCTTCAGGACACGTACCAACTGGATTCTGAAGCCTTCTCCAAAGGAAAGTTGCCAGGTAACCAATACACGTTACTGGTTGTGTACACTAAAGTTTGATTAACTTGAACTGGATGTGAATTAGACCGAGAAACCAAACTAAGCTCACTGAGGACATCTAGAGGTACTAACACTGAATTGAAACGCACAACAAACAGTCATTCAGTTTTCTTGAATCTGTTTGCAGGTGTCCACTCCAATGCCGTACTGACAGTAGACGATTGCTTCGACATGGGAAAGACGGCCTACAACGATGCCGACTATTACCACGCTGTGCTGTGGTTTCAGCAGTCGCTGAAGCAGCTGGACGACGGGGAGGAAGCTGTGGTCTCCAAAGCGGATATTTTGGACTACCTCAGCTATTCTGTTTACCAAATGGGTGATCTACCCCGAGCCATTGAGCTGACACGGAGACTGGTGGCCATCGGTTAGTTGCAGCATAGACATGTTGAAGATTGATGTATTTTATTATGTATTATTTTATTTTTATTTTTTCAAATAAGGAAAGAAGGGAAAAAAGGTTTTTTTTAATTTTTATTTTTTAACCCCTTTACAGATTAATTCTTTAAATTTGGAATATAACCCCAATCCACTTCTATGGTGTGAGTGATGCCTCCCCTCTCTCATGCTTCACTAACCATACAGTGTATCCTCCTCTGTGTCTGTGGTGCTGCCTTGTGCTTGCCAGAGCAGCAGGGTGTTGTCCTTTTCTAAGGAAGGGCTTATGGTTTCAGACTGTTATTTCTGCGCCAGGGACTCTGTGGACAGCTGCAGGCAATACTTTTAGAGTTTTGTATCCTTGTTTATATGCCAACGGAAGCCAGTTCAGGCAGACCTTATTTCGTTCCATCAAGTCGGACAGATATGAGAACCGCTCATGCATTCAGATAAACTGCTGTCATGTATCTATTTTTCTGCAATGAAAAAATAATTTACATCAATTCATTAGATATCTGTAGGTTAATTCAAAGCAATTAGGCATACTTTACTTAACCATTTTCAAAAAATAAAGAATTCACTTCACTATTTCAAAGCTATTGCAAGAGCAAATATATCAACATTTTGTTGATTCATATAATTTGTGTGTGCTGGCAAATGCCACTGGACTAATTAATGTAAGTTTATTTCACTGAAAACCAAGTTCCTTCTTTTTGATTTTGGACAACTTGAGCGTTCACAGATGTCCAAAGATTCAAAATGTCTCATTTATTCATGACTGAACTGATCTCATAGACTGACTTGTACTCACAACCAGAGCTCCTTAGAATAAAACAAGGTTTTTCAGTTTTCATCTGAGACACTGACAAGTCATGCTCTTACACTAACAGACCCTACCCACCAGAGGGCAGGAGGAAACCTCCGTTATTTTGAGCGGCTGCTGTTTAAGCAGCTCGATGAGCAGAACCAGGCCTACCAACCGGCCTCTGAGGAGCCCATTCAGCTGGGGACTTACAGCAGACCTAAAGACCATCTTCCAGAGAGGGAGGCCTATGAGGCTCTCTGCAGAGGAGAGGGGCTTCAAATGGTGAGGCATGGAGAGAATAATTGTGGCAGACGTAATGAGAAAACATTTATCAGAGGTAGATAAAGTGTGCAATATTTTCTCCACAGTTGTGGTGTTAGCATTTTATGAAGTGGACATGCATTCAAAATGAAAATTGGTTATGGTCATGCAACCTGTGCGCCACACCATTTTGTTACATCTGCCATAAAGTTCAGCCTGAGAAAAACCTCTCTTGTGTCAGGCATGTTCACTTGATATTTAGTTTTCTGTTCATATTTTAACAGAATGATGCAAAGCGGAGTCGTCTGTTCTGTCGCTACCACGATGGTAACAGAAACCCTCGTCTTCTGCTGAAGCCCGTGAAGGAGGAGGATGAGTGGGACAGCCCTCACATTGTGCGCTACCTGGACATGCTGTCAGACGAGGAGATAGAGAAAATTAAAGAGATCGCAAAACCAAGGGTGAGATTGATAATATATTAACAGAAACATGTGACACATCAGTTTTTTTTGGTTGAACTGAACAAATTGACTTTTCCATTAAATGGAACATTACCAACAAATGGCAAGGACTGCTTACAATGACGGCACACAGTAACTGATAGACATCAGAATATTTGATCATTTCAAATGAAAAAGTGAAGCATGAAAAAATCTTTGGTGCAGGAACTTAACTGTACACAAAAGAGCAGTTTCTCTTTCACAGACACATTTCAAACACATCCTACAGATCCTCTATCCTCCAGGTTGTTAGAAATGTTATTTGATACTTTCATTGCACTGTATTCAGCCCATATCCATGCAAGAAAAGACATATTTGATTAAAAATGGAAAGAGGGAGTAAGGTCTGCTAGATGATGTTAATTTTCTGCCTGTTGTTGTATTTTTAAGCTTGCCAGAGCTACTGTAAGAGACCCCAAAACAGGAGTCCTGACTACAGCCAACTACAGAGTATCAAAAAGGTAATTCCTTCAGAGGAGAGCTTTGATTAGCCCTTGCATAATAAGTCTTCATGAACATATTAATGGGTCATTTCAGTTACTTAATTGTAGGTTGGATCAAGCAGAGAGGATAAATCCATGGGAAATCTCTCAGATGAGATGCTTGTTTCAGTGACAAATATCTTATAGGAAGTGAGAAGGAATAATTGCACCACTGACAAAGGGAAGGAACTGTTGTGAATAGAGAAAGAAGAAGGTTAATTGGTGATCTGGGAGAGTTGGAGTAGATCCAGGAGCTCTTTGTCCTCCCTCAGATAGTAAGTAGGCAGTGTGAGAGATTGTTGAGTAACAGAAAGAAATAAGCCACGTACTCAGCTGAGTAAAGGTCTGAAACTGAAACTCTGCACACAGCACTGAGCAGTATTTTTTGCAGATGTGTGTCTGATTTGTGAAAAAAAACATGATAAAACACGACATCTGTTGGAGCCGTAGGTGTGTACTGTGCTGTAATACGCTCTGGTTTCTTCAGTGCATGGTTGGAAGGAGAGGAGGACCCTGTCATTGAGCGAGTTAACCAAAGAATACAAGACATCACCGGCCTCACAGTAGAGACTGCAGAGTTACTGCAGGTAATGTCCTTTAATCTTCATTCGACATTCTAGAACAGGAAGGGTCTGCCCGATAGAAATGTCCACAAAATGCATGCAAACATACATGAATGGCTTTTCACAATGAAAATGCCCAAAGCCAGAGTCGACGTATTCGTGAGAGGAGTTCATGAACCGAGACTGCTTCGCTTATAAATGAGCTCGGCGCAAACTGCCAGGTTTTTTGCACATTTAGAGTTTCTGTTTGCGGTGCAAAAGTAACCATCCCGTGGCGTGCGAAAGTCACAGACCTCACAGTAAGACGTCTTATTTGGTCACAGGTCATCCATCCAACACTCCTAAAAAAGAATCAAGCTAAGATGTTGGATTTTTCACATAAGTCGATCTACAAGAATCTGTAGCTATTGTGTGTCATGAACTGGTTATTCTGGGACTAAATGGAAATCCTAAAACTCCCAAGAAACTATCACACTAAGATTTTAAATAAAGGAACATCCCTTGGCTGAAAAGCTGAAGAATGGATTTGATCAAGATATCTGTCCATAAGAAATCTGAAGTTACACTTGATAGAAACGATTAAGTAGTACATCAATAATAAATGAACAAAGTCTCTATGGAAAAAAAGGGTGCATTTTCGAAGAAATCCCTGGAGAGACAATAAGTCATGAGTCAAACTTCAAAATGTGCTATAAACCAGAATAAATATCTGTAGATTTTTGTGAACCCTTTTTACTGGAAGATTTTCTGTCCAAAGAGAGAGAACATAATTAAATTACAGACCAAAGCACTAAGTGTGACATCACCGATAGCTCTGTGAATACTGACTGACACACAACTCAGCCAGAAGCTTCAATAAAACGATTTAGAAGTCCTGACTTCCAATCAGAAAAGGCTTTTCAAGTTAAAAAAAAAAAGCATTGTTTTTACTTTATGCGCTGAATCACAAGTAAAAAGGAGAGGACAGGAGGTCTTACTCTTTAGCTGTTGTCATAAACTGTCATTGTGTGTGACCGACCAGGTTGCCAACTATGGAGTTGGAGGACAGTACGAGCCACACTTTGACTTCTCAAGGGTAAGCCGAGTTACCATCAGAATCAAGACCACATTTTTTTAAGGCAGTCTGTGCCCTTTTCCTCTGCATGGCAGCCCTTTCACTCATCTATGAAAGTCTTCTGCCCCTCATCCTTCCATCCACTGATGGAATACGAATAGATGAATATGACATTGTTCTGTTGGACGGATAACCCTTAAAGTCATACTAAGCAGTCGCCGATGGCAAACGTTGCATCCAGACTGAAAGAATTCCACATTTAAACGTCAGTTTTGGACTGACTGCTTACAGAGGACAGAGAAATGCATGCAAAGGGAAAGGTCTCAGCAGAGATTCTTCATAGAAGGAGAATACATTTGCTTAAGGATTTTTTTTTATGGTGGGGGGATATGGAATATGCTGCTTAGTATGCCTTTAAAGAGATGAGTGTTAACTGTTGATCCCTCTCACAGACAGTGTAACACCATTAGGTGGGAAGTTATCCATGTTACCTTTACATTACATTCCTGAATTTGTTTCAAGTCGGGAGGATCAAACTAATTAGGCAAAAGAGCCTAAGATTGGCTTTTGGTCAGATCTGTGCCCTCGGTGGCGGGCTCCGAGTGCGAGTCTTCCTGATGATGGGTTAAACATATAAACGTCTGTTGCAGCGTCCTTTTGACAGCAACCTCAAGGTCGATGGAAATAGACTTGCTACCTTCCTAAACTACGTAAGTAATGTGTGTGCTGTTTTCATTTCGTGTATTTTATCTTTGTAGAAGGATGAGCCTGATGCTTTCAAAAGATTAGGCACTGGAAATCGTGTGGCAACTTTTTTAAACTACGTAAGTACGTGCGTTTAGTTGCCCCTGATTGAGGGCCGGTGATGAAAGTCTCCTGAAGTTAACTTTGTCTTCCATTTTCTGGTCATGTGGCATCCATTATGTAATGACGGGGAAAAATCAGAACACAATGGGTGAAACAGTGAAGTGCTCTGAAATTTCCGTGCATGTTCAGGAGCAACCTGTGCTTCAGAACAGTTAGCTTAATCCACCGGTCATTGTGAAGCCATATTTTTCAGTGTGGCCCTTGAGAAAAACATAATTGGAAAAAAAGGAGACAGCTGGCCCGTGCCAGAATGGCAAAACATTAAATTTAGGTCCAAATCAATTGGGCACATCTAGCACAAATCTTTAACATCCTCAAAATTTTGACATTTTCCATTCCATTACCATCTGTTTTACATTAGTTATTTTAAATGAATAATATAGGCATCAAATGAATGTATATCGTAATAGTATCCCCTCACAAAAAGCTGTACGGTGGTTCTTACGTATTGCTTGGGTGAATCAGGACAGAACGGGATCATAATGTTCTTTCCTGCAAGTTAATTTTCTCCAAATAGCCTTACACACTACACTAAATCTGTAATGATTATTTTGCTTAAATAAAACAATACAGAGAATGTAAATTTAATTCTATTTAAAGAAATTCACTGTCGTATAATCCCAGACAGAAGGAAAGATTCTAAATCTTTCATATTGTGTTCAATTTTAGTTGAATTGTGTGCCATCCTTCCAAAGATTTGATTCTCTATAAACTGCTCAGTTGGAATTGTTGTTTCAGGATGGTTGGTGTGTGTGTGTGCGTGTGTGTGTGTGCCAAAATAAAATTAAGAAAATCTCCTAATCATTTTGATGTTTTTTCTCAGATGAGTGACGTTGAGGCAGGAGGTGCCACGGTCTTCCCTGACTTTGGGGCATCGATCTGGCCACGAAAGGTGATTATAGTTCAGTGTTTTGGATGTTTTTGTCCCGTTCACTCGACCGAGTGCATGCGAGAGCCCCATAAAGTTTCACTTCAACCTCTAGGCTGTATTGCATAGCAGTTTGTCATCGGCAATAACACTTAGGAGGCCGATAGGTTGGTATCATTCTCATAATTTAGCTCTTCAGGTCATGCATAACCTGTCTCTTCTACATAATATCACTCCTTATAACTGAAGCCTTTTGTCCTTTCTCCACAGGGGACAGCAGTATTCTGGTATAATCTCTTCAAAAGCGGAGAGGGAGACTACAGGACGAGGCACGCAGCCTGCCCAGTTCTAGTAGGAAGCAAATGGGGTGAGTGGAAGTGCAGGACACAGGCCAAACTCCAGCGGAGATGAGCTTGGATGACTCAGACAAAACGTGCAAACTGTTGGGGGCTTTTGTTGCACGCATTCAGAATCAGAATCAGAAATATTTCATTCACATTCATTCACCCTTCAGCTACATTCTCCATGTGTTGGTGACTGTGATGGACAGGCCAACATCAACAGATCAAGTATTTTCTTTGTCTTGTACTGAATACCAAGCATTGTATATTTTTCATGAAGAGAAACGGAGGATGAATCAGCTTTAACTTCTTCTTTTCATATTTGGCTTCAGTTTGCCTCAAGGTCACCTGATGAGGGGAAAAAAAATAGGAAACGCTTTGTTGGAAAAAGTTATATTAAAAAAAAGAAGTCCAGAAACTAAGACTTTTTTTCATTTTAAAACAATAACCAACTCCTGCCAGAGTGATTGAATAATACATAAGGATACATAAGAAACAAAGCGGCCACGTGACACGGTGGAGGCTGTGTAGTGGTATGGGACTCGGGTTTGACACTGATAATGAGCCTCTTGGTTTAGGTATGTGGACGTTCAGCCAGAAACGGATGGACGCAGATGAATAATGACTCAAAGTATACCACCAAAGCAACTTCAGAGCTTTTTTTGGGGGAGAAATTAACCATTCTTAAAATAATGATTCAGACAGGCATATGCTATAATTTTATCTTTTAGCAATACATCTACAGACAAAGTGGTTACTTCAATAGTTTATGCTCTGTGAAAAAATATCCTTCTGGATCAAAGTCCAAGTTATTTCATAACTACTGATTTCCAGCACCAAAAGCGTAGAGAGAGAGAGAGTGGATACAAAGACTTCCATATTTGTTTGCTTTTTTGAGGACAGAAATGACGTTGAGGTTGTGAAATCAACCGATTTCTGGATCACATTTGCTGTTTTTTTTTTTCTAGTGTCAAACAAGTGGATTCATGAACGAGGACAAGAGTTCAGGAGACCATGTGGCCTCACAGAAGTGGACTGAAACTGGAGTCCCCCCCCCCCACTTCACTCGCAGACTCACACCGTGCCTTGATTTTGAACACAGTACAACAAAGACATATGGTAGAACACTCCAGTTTAGGGTTGTCAAAAGTATCGATACTCAAAAAAGTATCGCTACTAAAACGTTGTATCCGGAGACGATGCTCATTTTCAAAAGTATCGATACCAACCCCCCACTTCCCCCTGCGCGTGTGCGACGCTGACCTGCCAACGCTGTGCCCCTTCTCTCTGATCTATTTATTTCTTTACGTTGTTTATGATCATTAACATGACGTTAGCCTTGAATCACTATCTACGGCTAATGACTAATAATAACGTGCCAACATAAATAAACTAAACAGACTGCAGGAAGCCAAGGATGGATATCCAACTCCCCCCACATCCAAGTCGGCCATTTTGATTACGTCACCGATGGGAAGATCCGTAATTGCTTCATGGCAATATAGACATTAATTTAAAAATAGTGAAATCTTTCAAACACTGAATTCAACTCTATACATTATATTATGTTGAAATAGTGTATGTTAAATAGGTTTGTACAATAAGTCAAAACAACTTTAACCAAAAAATGATTATTTCTCACAATTGTGTAGGGTTAGGGTCATTAATGCGGGCCACCGACCACAATAACATCAGTAATAGGTAAGTTTGAAACGAAAGACATGTGAAAATTCTGTTACATTTTGGGGTCTTTTTTTTTTTTATCCTTGTGGTATCGAAAATGGTATTGAGTATCGAATATTTTCCTGAGTATCGGTATTGAGTTTAAAATTTTAATATTGTGACATCCCTACTCCAGCTAGTGTTTTTCTCCCTGCATTTGCAAAAGAAGCTTCATCCCCATTTTATTGTGCCATTGAGAATATCTTGTTTTCTATCAGAGGTTTTACACCAGCTCTGTCAGACATTCGTTCATCTCTCCCACCTCTTTAAATAGCTCCAGTTCATTTGATAAATCAGACTAAATGTTTATTGAAACTTTTGATTACCGTAGATTCCAGAATATGAGCTGCCACTTGGTGTGAACGCTCGGGCTTAAACAATGATGCACCTAAATTCTGGATTTTTTAAATTTTACTTTAATGGGATAACGAGCTTCCTGGCACAAAAACATTTAGCCTCATCACATCAGAACGCCCTTCAGATTAGTCATTTCGCGTTACCTGCACACCATCATGGGAAAACACACTGCTTTATATATGTACAAACTTTCTTTGTTTAGTCTTTTTAAAGTCACTGGATGCGGCTTATATTCAGGTACTCTCAAGTCCAAAATTTACGGTTTTAGAAAAAATAAATAGATAAATCAGCTCATTCTAAGTTTCCAATAAACACTTATACATTTTTTTTATTTTCACTAATTTAAAACACACATAAACACAGTCACCCCTATGTTTACCCCTCAGGTGAATATCTGAATATTTAAACAGCATCGACCAACTACGAGCAGTTAAGCAGCATTACATGAAAAACATGTCTATTGATGTTTAAAAAAATACATCTATGCCTTTGACCGATGTGTGTTAGATGAGTTTCTTCACACTTGTTTGAATGTAATGTGCACATCTTTTAACTGTTTTGTTATGTGTTCAGAGTTAGAATCTGTAACTTAGTTAAGAAAAAAAACAATAGATTTGGACAAAGAACAGAAAAAGAAGTGTGCCGCTGAATTTGGTTTCTGAACACAACTAAAGATTTTAATACCACATTCCAAATGTGCTCACAGTCACCTTTGCAGTGGATTGTGAATATCTGTTCCTGTAGCTGATTTAAAAATGCAAAGATTTTCCCAAATATTAAGTTACCAGGAACTGTACTCCAGTAATTCATTGAGCAAATGTGACCCCCAAACAGTTTTAATCCCTTTGCAAACCTGACGGGGAAAGACCTTTCCTCCAAAGTGTTTCTATTGTATGTATATTTATACTGTTTAAATTATTATACTGGTGTATCCTCACTCCTCAAGTTGGCAATAAAGTAAAAAAGTATAATATTAAAACGTGTTGTTGTTTGCTATTTGAATTGGTTTTGTTGTCGCTCTCCATCAAAATGTTAAAAAGAAGCGATCTGCATTCTCTGTGAGAATGGCTTTTAAATGTTCCATGCTGATACAGTAAACTTGATAATAAGATATCCTGTTAGATAATAGAAAAAGTTTGAATGAGGACATGTGATACAAAGGCTTTCTCTGTCACCGTACAGAGGGGTTTGATGTGGCCCGAGAAAGATGACAGTAAGAAATACAATCACAGAGTATGAAGTTTATTGAAACCGATTACTTATACTTATTATTTAAATTGTTTTACATGTTTTTGGCAGCACTGTTTAATAAAAGGGGAAATCCACCCCAATAACAAAAAGATTTAGTGACCCAAAAAAAATTCTGCTCAACACATACAGTATCAATTGAATAAAAAAAAAAAAAAAAAAGGTTATAAGAGTATACACAGTATATTCATATTCATGGTGCATCAACCAGCCACAAAATTTCAGGTAGTTGCTGTGGCTCTGCAGTGTGTGTGTGTGTGTGTGTGTGTGTGTGTGTGTGTGTGTGTGTGTGTGTGTGTGTGTGTGTGTGTGTGTGACTCTTCTCTTTGTGTACATTTGTGCTCACCTCCTGACTCTAAAATTCCTTGTGCCTGAAACACCTGTTAGGTTATTCTGACCGTCGTATTTTGTCAGTTTTCATCTCCACTCTCATATATTTTTTTTTCACCTTTAAGCATAACTGCTATTCTACTTAATAATGCACCTGAATGTCTTAGGACTCTTGTAAACGTGGTAGTGCTTTACTAATTTATTTTCTTTACCCGTCAGGCCCTGTGGAAAAAAAAAAAGCGGGCTCCTGAATCTGACAGGGTTGAAGTGAACTGGATAACTAGAGGATTGACTCCAGTATGGGAAAAAGATTATATCTTTATGACGGTATGTATTATTTTATCCCTGTCCAGTAATGATTGATTAAAAAAATGTTTTACATTCGAGTGAAACGATCAATAACAATGGACGGAAACAAGATGTCATATGTTCACTAATGAGTGAGACTTAATTGCCCATTGTGTATAAAGGGATAGGAGCAAAGCTTTTTAAGACATTTCCCAATAATACATTCTCATAAAAACATTAATGCAGTACAGGTTCTCAGACGACACGTACAATCTCTATTAAGACTGAAACCCTGTTGAGGGTACACTTGACACATGAGTGCACTCTGATATCAGCAGAAGACGGACGCCTCGGACCACTCCATGAATCAGTTCTGAGCTGCGTAGTTGGGTAACTGATGGAGTTCACCAGTGTGGGCCAGACGGTCCCGATCCGAGAAGGAAGTTGTGACATTGCTTCCCTGAGCGGGAGAGGGACGCTTTTGATCAATGTTTTCTACAGGCTGGCAGAGAAATAGGAAGCGCTGGGAAAAGAGAAGAGAAATAGACTAATTTAGACTAGATTATCTCCATGTTTTGATCTGAATTCAAAGCACAAAAGCGTAAGTTATTGAACAAATCCTATACTCCCATGTGATTTCTGTATAGCTTTTGACATAACTTGGGCAAACTATTCATGGTCAAATATGGCCATGGAATATTGTTTGGCAATGTTTTGCAGAGGGCCATAATATGTGTTTGTGTGCATGTTTGCCGGAATTTTAAACTCACCTCCGCAATGGTACCTTTTCCTCGGATCATTTTGATCAACACAAACAGCGGGATGAGGGACAGGGAGACTGTGGCGATGAACCAGCCGAGGATGTTGGCCCACAGTGGATATACGTAGCTGTTACTGAACCTCAGTGGAGAATATTTGACAATAGAAAAGACGAAAGTTCCCTGCGAAGAGAAGAGACACGGTGGGTTGGTTTTAAATGTGAAATAGGCTGAAATTACATACAAACAAAGCAAATAACAATACATGTAGAAAATCTACTGTTTGCTTAACTTTACAAGTTTTTTTCTCCTATAAATTGATTATATATCGGACATCCCCATTAGTAAATCATGTACTTTCACTTACAAAACAGATGAAGGGAGTTATATAGCACCAGCAGTACTTCATGAACCGATTTGGTCTGTAACCAATCATGTCTTCGACGTTGTCAGAAAAACGATCAGCACCTGTAGGGGTGAGGGAAGGACGTCAGAATCATCAGCTTACACGTGATCCATTTCAAAAGCGTACCGTTCACCAAACGGCGAAAGAGTTGTTTGTCCACAGTATGAAGCCTGCCCACGAAGAAATAACTCTGCGGACTTACCGTAAACCCACCCGATGCTGACGGACTCGCAGAAGGAGAGGAGGAGCAGGGTGGTGCCACTACAGACATGGTGGTCAACCAGCTGGAGTAGGTAAATGCCCCCCTGTAAATGAGATAAAAAATAAGACCAACATATGGAGGAAACATTGTAGTAACGCCTGTGGATAATTTGTCTTCCTTTAATTTCAAAGAAAATTTCCTAAAGCCAGAAAGCATAACAAGAGCACAAATGAAACGTTTCTTCCTACTCGTCATAATGTAAGTAAATGATCTGTATTTGTATGATATGGAAAGCATTAGGTTTTGGCTAGTCACATTCATCAATAAGTCTCTGTCTGAAATTTGATATGATGGTGGGAGAGTGAGAATATAGAAAAACAGCACATTTGAAAACTCAACTTGGCCTTCTGTGTTTGGCACACAAAACAGAATGATTATTTGATTGATTTTAATAAGTCATTTATGATTGATTATTCTTATGATTTGATTTAAAAGAAAAACTACCAATATAAGAAATTGAGGATTAAACAAACAGCAGGTGTATTATTGTGTACTGTGGCTACATGTGGTCACTGAAGAAGAATCCAAGCAAAATGATCACATTTTCCTATAGGGAATGGAAGATTGGGTGAATTTTACACTAAGAATACACAAAGCTGAAGCTGTTTCATAATCACACACCTCCGGTAAACTATATTCCCAATGTAGCCTAAAGTTCACTTTAATAAGTGAAAGATCTGCCTGTTACATTTACAGCAGCCTCTCCTGAATAGAACACTGATTGTTTAGTGGGTCAGTCTCAAATGCAGTTCAGATGTGTCTGTGCCTTTGGAAAACAATTCTGTGTCCAAACATAAATGTAAAACAGTTTTGTAGAGTTGAATGGTTGTGAATGTATGTGTTTGTAATTTTTGTCAACACTGCTTCATATAAAAGCTTGAAGACTTGATCTGTGAACATTACAACAGAATAACACAAACCACTAGTGGTAATTTAGACTCAGTTCGAAAGCTTGACTGATAAATCCTGCTCTCAAAACAAAATACATTCTACCCGCATTTGACCTTTGACCTGGCATGAAGCTAATAAAGCTAATTACTGACTGGGAAACCTGACAAGAAATCAGCTGGACTCCACTATTACAGAACAAAATGGACATGAAAGGAGCAGGCACCTAGGCCAAGAGCTCTCCATCCATCCATAATCCATGCCCCTTATTCCTGGTAGAGTGGCAGGGGGCTGGAGCCTACCCCAGCTGACCTCGGTTGAAGTGAATTTATAAACAATATCTCTGAGAGCATATGGTAACAGAAATGTGAATGTATGGGTTACATGCTAATCATGCAGAGGAACAAGCTATTTTCTCAGTAAGTGGCCGACATATTTTTCTTTAGGGATAAACTATTTGTGATGCTGATGTTGGTGACGGTTGAACATCTCAGCCACAGAGAAAGTCCATCCCTCACACTGTTCAATCATTCCCACGCTTGCAATTCAAATCATTAAGACATGCCAACACATCCTGTTGCTATTGGTAAATGATCCACAAGTTTAACTGCTTGGTAAAGTACGCACTATCATAGATTTGCTCTTCTGCCAGTGCCAAGGTAAAAAAAAAAGAAGTAATATAAAACCCCCAAATGCCACGGAAATCATTACTCCTACTCAGCTCTGACCTTTTCAGTGGAGAAATGAATCACCATGTCCTGAGGATTTTGATTTTTGGAAATCCCTAAGAAAATCTAATTTCCTTTTTTGAAAAATAAAATGTAAAAAAAAAATCAAATAAAGATAATTTCCTTCACCATAACATGCCATTTATTAAACCACGTTCAGATTAAATCAAATCTAAGAAAGCACACAGCAATATTAATCATAAATCCTTCAATCCTTTAATTCAAGTCAGATAACCCTGTGATATTGAATATAACCCTCATGTCAATATTTTTTGACCATTCGACCTGCAACTCGCACATCATGGACCACTCACACTGGAACTGTTGCTTACAGGATATACTGCACACTGACCTCAGTCACCAAGGGGAGTCCTAGCAAGAGGCAGCAACAGCAGATGACCAGCAGGCTAAGCTCACGTCTGTAGCCTTGACGCAGGTAAGTGGGGAAATGATCGACCAGTGATGACATCATGCATTCCATCCCAACAAACTGCAAAAAGCCCATCGAAAGCAATAGATAAATAAATGACTTTCTGTCATTTCTTACTTATTTCATACACGCATTCATTGAGACACTGGGCGGTTACCTGGCTGTCCAGTCCAAGTAGAATGATCATGAGAAAGAAACACACTGACCACACCTGTGGCATGGGCATCAAAGCTACAGCACGTGGGTACACAATGAATGCCAACCCTGGGCCTGGAAACACATACATACAATAGAAACACATTATGTGAATACAGGTCATAATGAATAAACTGCTTTGGTTTCTTCACTGAACAACATCATAGTGTTTCAACAAATAATAAAACTTGGTGTCAGCCTCTGCTGTTTAAAGCTGATTTGATTTGCTGGAGCCATAAAAACATAAACAATGACACAACATAGGATGGAAAAATCCAATGCAGTTAAGCTTTTTCAGATATGTAAATGAATCTGGATAAACCTAATTCTTTCCCTCAGAAAAAAATAGTTTCTTCTTTCTATTTTAGTTTTTATTTGAAATAAACAAAACCATTAATTCCCTTTTGCTATTGGTCTGGTTTTTGGGCCATCATCTTAAATTTATTTTATCATATGTAATAATAATAAATAACAGTTACAGTTTTTTTTTTCTTAAGGGCAAAGTCAAACATACTTCATTTGTAATGTTTTGTGTGAGTTTGTTAAACGCAGTGCTTTAAAATGACAGAGTACCTGCACATCACTTTTATATGTTCTGAATCATATCCACTGATTTAGGGTTATATAAACCACACATGTTATTAGTGTCCAATAATCCAAGTCCCAAAACAAACTATAGAAGCTGCTAAAGAGTCAAACACCGACTTAAAGAATTTTCATATATAATATGAGCAATAAATGCGAGACATTAGTCACAATTTTGAGGACATTGACTTGTTTTGTTAGAAAAAAACAGAAATCAAAGACAACACACTGAAACTTTACCCTGCTCAATGCCTACCTGACTCCGCCACTTCAGAAATGTCCACGCCTTGCTCGTACGTCATGAAACCCAGAACTGAGAAAATGGCGAAGCCTGCCACAATGCTGGTGGCGCTGTTCAGCAAACACAGGTAGAAACAGTCTCTGAAAGAAAAAAAAAAAGGAAGATGTTTTCCAGAATGGGTGACATTGGGTGTTGTGACAGAATAATTAATTTAATTTCAAGTAAAGTAAGTAAAACATACTTGATCTGGGGACCTTGAAAACTAATGTTATCTCACTGAGAAATGTATGCTTTGGACAGTTCGTGCAGCACTAACCTGTAACAGTTGTTATTATAGGGGTTGTAACTCCCAAGGGTGGTGAGGTAACTCAGGCCAATGGCATAAGAGAAGAAGATCTGAGTGCCAGCATCCATCCACACCTGTAAAAGGTCCAGCAAGAGCACGCATACATCATGAGTGAAAGGTTCGGAAGAGTGGATGTGTCCAAATGGTTTTTTTTTTTCTTATTTTTTTTTTTTACCTGGGGATCTGAGAGGCGAGAGATATCAGGGTAGAGGTAGTAAATGATTCCGTCGATTGCTCCCGGTAGGGTAACGCCCCGTATGAGCAGAACGAAGAGCATGACATAAGGGAAGGTGGCTGTGAAGTAGGCTGCCTGAAAGGAAAGGTGATGCACACGAGACAGTTTGGTGAGGACCAATTCACTTTGTTTTCTATGAATACACACAAATACCAATTTTCTTTAGCTTTAAAGACTTTTTGTATATCTGGAAAGTTTCCTTTTTTTTTTCTTTTTTTTTAATATTTTTGATGGGGAACAGACCACAATACATTAATGGGTACATAATTGTAGTAGTACACGGGTACACAAATAAAGGGTTGCCATTTGTGAAAGAAATTGCCAATACATCCCCTCAATGTGTATTTATTAATTTTCTTGCCGTCCTTGAGATAGAAGGACACTTAGCAGACTTCCAGTGAGGAAAGTTTAGCTTAGTGAACCCATGACCACAGTGTTAGGAACTCAATCAGAGTTTGTTGTTCTTCACCTGATTTAAAAATTGTGATTGGAAAAAAAATCTAATACTATTTTCAGTTCGCTGGTAACTTCCCCCAAGTTCTTCTTAAGGTTTCTGATTGATAACACAACATTTTGTCATGGAAACTGCCAGCTGGACACCTCCCCTGCCCCCAGTTTAGGCAGGTTTCTAGAATGTGTCACTGCTTTTTTTCTTCAGAGCATCTTTGTAGGTTGTATGAGTAACTTGTGCCTTGTGCTGGACTGCTTTAAAGAAATGTTGCTTTCAGTAAATTGACTATTCCTTACTTGCTCAGCATCACTCCCCCCTCCATCAATGCACCTCCAACACAAGAGACTCTGATATATTCATACCTTTTGTAAGAATAAATCTAAAAACTGACATTAGCTACCTGTGTGAGGAAGTTTAAAAAAAAGCTTTTCAGTGAAGTTACTGACCTTTCCCGTTGATTTGATTCCCTTCCAGATGCAAAAGTAGCAGATGACCCAGCTCAGGATGAGACACAGGACCAGTTCCCACCTCAAACTGCCAACATGGTCAATACCACTAGAGATATTTAAGACCCGCCGTCTGGTCAAATAAAAAAGAGCAGGGGATGGCATAAGTGGGGCAGGAAAACACATAAAACTGATGTTAAGGTCAGATGGTGACCGAGTGAAAGGGAGGAGAGGTAAAGGAATCCATCTATCCATCCATCTATCTATTATCATTACCGCTTATTCCCTAATGTGGTCGCAGGGGGAACTGGAGCCTATCCCAGTGGTCAACGGGCGAGAGGCAGGGTACAACCTGGACAGTCCATCGCAGGGCCACACACAAGGACAAACACTCACATTCATTCCTAAGGGAAATTGCAGGTTTTGGGACTGTGGGAGGAAGCCGGAGAACCCGGAGAGAACCCACGCAGACACAGGGAGAACATGCAAACTCCACCCAGAAAGGTCCTGGGACTGGAACCCAGAACCTTCTTGCTGGGAGGCGACGGTGCTAACCACCACACCACCGTGCCGCCCCAGGTAAAGGAATGATAGACAGAAATGTGAGGATTGGAGTAATGGAGAGGCAGACGGGATGCAAAGATAAAGGGAAAGATGGGAGAAGAAAAGGAAGGAGCTGAAAGGAGAAGAAAAGATTGGGTTTAGTGAACTTGTTTGACTTTATGCTTACTGCCAGAACTCCACAACTGGAAGGGTGGTGTTCATTCTAGACTCTATGCTCATATTCTTATGGCTGTCGAAGCATGATTCTAGTAGAGGGGGAAACAAACACAACAAAATGGTGAAATAAACTGATTTCCCAAATTAAGAATGAACTGCATTTCATGTGTTCTTTGCATTTGCTATACTATTCTGTGTTTCATACAACGTGACTTTCACTAAACGAGTGCTCAGATTCCTCCTCAACACCACCGTACTCTGTCTTGCAAGGACCCACCTGTGTTCCAGTAGTTGCCACAGGAGGCCCAAGGCAATTCCGAACCGAAGGATGAAAACAGGTAAAAGAACGCCCACGTGAAGATTATGATGTAAGAGGTGCCGCTGACTGCGATGATCAGGTGGCTGGCGTAGCCCATGCCTGAATAAGAGAAATATTCAGAACGAATGTTGACAAGGCACTGAAAGAATTCTGGAGTTAGAGATGGCTGCAAACGAAAACCAAGCACAGCCCAACGTTGTAGAATTCTCATTGTTGCAAATTCACGCATTGATTTTGGGGGGTTTGTACTCTTTTCTAGACCAATTCCTTCACTAAGTTTACTGTATTTATTTTTGTTACTTGAAAAATGCTTTTATTCAGTAGTGATATACAAACTTCTTCTATTCTGCAAACCCGGATGATTCTGTAATGCTCACGTTATGCAATAATTATGCAACCAACACTGTTCATTTGATAAAGATCATCAAGGATTTTTTTTCAAACCCATTTTGAACATATGCATTAACATTTAAAGGAGGTTGTCTCGACAACTTAATACACTGAAAAAGTCCGGTAACATCTGTAACATCTACATACAAATCTCTGTGTTTTTACAGAATCAGCCCAAATAATGCAACACATGCAGACACATGTATGCATAAATGATATTTTAAGTCTTTTTTACACTATTATGCAAATGTGCATCTTCGGTTAACTTGTGGGTTAAACCACATTTAGGCCCGCAACGGAGATGGATCCCGTCTGCCTCCAGTGGGAAAAACAGAAATTGAATGTTGCCACAGACATACGACCCATACATGCACTCACCTTCTGTTAAACTTTGATTAAGGGGCAAAATTAACATTACCGGGCAGGTGGCAGACATGCAGTATTTTGAGCTGTGAAATCAAGTTAGAACAGGAAAACTCCCCAAAAAGGCGAAAGCCAAGGTTCTAACCAGAGATGTTTGTTATGAGTCCTAAACTATGAATACAATGCAGAGTACGACAAAGCCATGTCTCAGACTAACAACTGGTGATTATAGATTCTATTTTTTCTTGAAATTACCACTTTTTTGTATATATTTAAATCATATCAGGAGTTGGACAATTAATACTAGATATCAAAATAAGGCACCTTAATTGCCTTTAAAAAATATATATTCTATCTTATCTATCAATTTATCTATTTTAAAGTACCAAACGTGGCTTTCTGAGATGGAAAAGCTCACGATGTGCACGGAAAAAAAGAGGAAATATTATGAACTGCTCTACATTAAGCGGCAAATATTTTCAATGGGAAATAAGTTTTTGTTTACCTTGAAAGAGCGGACAAATCCCTCTCCAGCAAGTGATCCCCCCCTGGCTGGTGTACTGCCCTAATGCTGTCTCGAGGAAGAACAGGGGTATTCCGCATGTGAATATGAAGAGAATGTATGGGATGAAGAAGACACCTGCAAAAAAGAAGACAGAAATTTACTCAAGAGAGGGGATCCATAGTATGCAAACGCCAAGTGATGGGGAAAAATAATTTCTGTGAGCCCGGTTTCTGAGTAAAAGCACCCACCTCCGCCGTTTTTGTAGCACAGGTATGGGAACCTCCACACATTCCCAGGTCCGATGATGGCTCCCATCACAGTGAGGATGAACTCTGCTTTGGTCCCCCAGTGTCCCCGCTCCTCCTCCACTTTAGTCTTGTGTGGGTATTTGTTTGGGACCTCCACCATCACAGCTTGCGCATTCTTTCCCTTCGAAGCCATCTCCGATCTCCCAAACCGTTTTTTTCCCTCCCTGCTCGGTCAAATTTCTGCGTCCACACCTGGATATTGCGCACTCTGCCCAAAACACATCTCACAAGGCAACTTATTATATAGGTTTTTTATTTTCCTCCCTTTTTAGAAATCAATCCTAACTCTTAATAGTTTTTGATCAACCTCTCCCTGTCTCGATTGAGGATATATGGACTAAAACACCAACTATTTAAGGTGCAGACGCGCTCATTGAGCGTCTTTTAGGAGGAGGGTGTATGCGTGGATTTGGTTGGGATTGGTGGTGCCGCGAGGTTTCTGCTCCGCCTATACTCATCATCAGTAAAAACACGTTTGACATCTTTGTAACCCATTTGCGTACAGTAGAAGCTGTTTTCCAGTCACGTGCGATTTGATATGGTCGAGCTCAATGAAAATGCGAACACGAGGTTTTCAATAATAACTTATGAAACCCAATGCAAAGTTCAGTGTTTGGACCAGACAGTTTATCAAATTGCATGTTGCAGTGATGCACGACGTTTTCGTGGAGTAAATTCCAAGAAATGTTAAGCATGAAACAGATTGTAGAATTAATTTATTAAGCTATAATAGTGTTTGCTATAAAGAATAAAAAGATGCTGATCCATGCTGAAGATTGCGTCACTTAAACAAATTGTAAATAACTGGTCTGGAGCTGAGAAATCATATCAAACCTATAGTTACCCCACAGGTAATTCAGTTGTTGATTGTGTGGCTTTTCTGTTTGTAAGCTGTGAAAAGACTACAAAGATCTGTAAATGCTGCTGAAGTTCCTTACATGATTCTAAATCCAACCAAAGGGAAAAGGAGACAACACTGAAGGTTCATGAGTTGGAATCCCAATGAAGCCCAGTGGGTGACCTCTGCAGTGCCACCGAGATGAAGAGAAATCTTTCCGGCTTGGCTCTTAATTTTGATCCACTTTGTCACAAACATTACTCATCACGTCTCGGACAAAGAGATATCAAATTAGTCACCAGCACAGACCTGACACAGGAAATTGCGGCGTCTCTTTGATGTCCATTTATGTCTTCCCAAGTTTCACATTCCTCTTGATTTTCCAATGTCTGCTCTATCATGTTGTTCATTTTCTACCTTACACCATCTTAAAATTTCTGCAAACCCTGACCATTGTTTGTCCTCTCAGATCAAAGCATTCAGGCAGGAGGGAAAGTGAATCTCAGAATCTGACCGTCTTCATGCCTCAACCATCAGCAATGGCCAGTACCAAGTCCCAGTCCCAGTCATTCATTCTCCATCTCCACTGGCTTTTGAGGTATGGGTAAGAGTTAGGATAGGAGATGCTCTTTGAAAAGGATGCTCTTTAAGAGTTTCCTAAAGACAGACACATGCTGCTGTTCTTGTAGCACTTGATGGGTAATTCCACCATCTTGGAACAACACACGGTCTGGATTGTCCTGAGCGTGGTGCAGGCACTGCTGGACCTCAGTCTGTTGATGACCGGAGTGACCGAGTTGTGACATAAGCCTTTTGCAAGAGGGTTCAAGCAGACGGGAGCAGTACCCTTAAGCACTTTGTAGGCTAGCATCAGGGACTTGAATGTGATCTGGTTCAACTTAATATGTTTAGGAATGTTGACTCGATAACCGGGGTCTCTGCTGTTCATTTAAACGGAGCCACTTTGTTCCGCTTCAAGGCCGGAAGACATTAATGGCTTAGTACCCTTTCATTTTTGTCGTCATCAAACCGAAAAAGAAAAAAACACTTTCCACAAATACACCTGGTTAGCCATTCCTGCTGGCAATGTGCCAAAGTGTTCAAAAGCTATAATTCAATTGCAAGAATTTCCTGACCTCTGCAGAGAAGCAGGCACGAGACATATGACAACAATGACTATAATCCACATTCACGTTTCAGCTCAAAGGCTCTGTGCCCACTGTTCCTGCATTTTCAGATAATGCACAATTCAGGGACAGACCTATGGGTGGCAGTACCTCACTCACCATGTGCACTGCACTAACTCCACTGAAACGGCTCTGTTGTCTGTGACAGAAGCTCTAAAAGAGGCAAGGGCAAATGCCAAGTCCTCAGTACTTATCCTCCTTGACTTATCAGCCGCATTTGACACAGTCAATCATGACATCCTTCTGTCTATACTCTCGAGTATGGGCATCACAGGGAGAGCACACTCCTGGTTTGAGTCGTACCTCACTGGTCGATCATTTAAAGTATCCTGGCTTGGTCACACTTCTGCAGTGCACCACCTCGCCACAGGGGTTCCTCAAGGTTCAGTACTTGGACCTCTTCTCTTTGCTATATATACCACTTCCTTGGCCCAGATCATTCAATCACATGGTTTCTCCTACCACTGCTATGCTGATGATACACAGCTCTATCTGTCATTCCCACCTGATGACCACTCGGTCTCAGCACGCATCTCAGACTGTCTCTCTGACATATCAAAATGGATGAAAGCCCACCACCTCCAGCTGAATCTCTCAAAAACTGAACTGCTTGTCTTTCCAGCCAAACCAACTATTCACCACAATATTCACATCCAAACTGAATCCCTCTCTCTGACTCCATCAAAGGCAGCAAGAAACTTGGGTGTCATGATTGATGACCAGCTGACCTTTAAAGATCACGTTGCCTCTGTTTCTCGATCCTGTCGCTTCGCATTACTAAACATAAGAAAGATCCGGCCGTACCTAACACAACATGCTACCCAGCTCCTGGTGCAGTCTATGGTCATCTCCCGCCTAGACTATTGCAACGCACTCCTGACTGGTCTCCCGGCCTGTACAGTAAAACCTTTACAAATGATCCAGAACGCGGCGGCGCGTCTGGTCTTCAATCTGCCCAAAAAATCTCACGTCACCCCTCTGTTCATTGAACTCCACTGGTTACCTCTGGCTGCCCGTATCAAATTCAAGTCCCTGATGCTAGCCTACAAAGTGCTTAAGGGTATGGCTCCCATCTACTTGAATCCCCTTGCAAAGGCTTATGTCACAACTCGATCACTCCGGTCATCAATGGATTGTCGTCTAGCAGTGCCTTCACCACGCTTAAGACAATCCAGACTGTTTGCATGTGTCGTTCCAAGATGGTGGAACGACCTACCAAGCTCCACAAGAACAGCAGAGTCCCTGTCTGTTTTCAAGAAACTCTTGAAGACCCACCTCTTCAAAGAGCATCTCCTATCCTAACCCTAACCCGTACCTCTACCCCCCCCACAGCTCCTTCTGTAGCCCCTCTACCTCTATCTCTATCTCACCACTGACTCTGATCAGTGTTTCTGTTCTATAAAGTTCATTGTCATTGTGATGAGAAATGTAATATTGTGTCTACTCTGTAAGTCGCTTTGGATAAAAGCGTCTGCCAAATGCATAAACATAAACATAAACATAAACTTTTCCCTGTTCTTAAATTTTCTGAGCAAACAAGGTGTCAAGTGTCAGCTCAGATGTTTTAAGTGTGTTAATAAAATGATCAGAACTGGAAATCAGTGAGCTCATTCTGGCTCCCTGAGAGGAGGGCGGGGCTCCCAGCATCATCACCCCGGCCATCTCTGCTTCATTGTACGGGCTGCTGCTGATGCAGATGTGCCGATGGTAAGGTGAGCCAAAGAAATGAACCCCTTATGATCTAAACAGCCAAATTAAAGAAAAAAAGAAAGAACGCCACCCTGGGAATTTCACCCAGATAATTAATTTGGGAAGGACACGCAGGTAAGGTTTTCTGAAAAAGCAAGAGACGTGGTTCAATTTCATTATTTTTTTTATTATTCTTTTCACAACTTAGTAACTCATTAGGACACAGCAAACAAAGGTAGGGGTGGACCCCGCAACCCAGGCACCACCAGTTTCCAGCAACTAAAGAAAGAAAGGGAACAACAAATTAGTGGGCAAATCAACTCATAACAGAAATACAGAATCGAACGTTGACCAAATCCAGGACTGCCCATTTTAGTCCTAAAACTATGATTCTAACATTTATAATAAAACACTCATTCTTGGTCAAAGTCCAAACAATTATTCTGGGGCACGACATGAGCCGTCAGCAGTATTGGAGAAAACAGTGTTGGAGACCAAACAGCACTGGAAACAAATCAGTACTGGAGACCAGAGATGTACAGTAACGAAGTAGAACTACTTAAGTACTGTAACTAAGTGCCAAAATACAGTATCTGTACCTTATTGGAGTATATATTTTTCCATACTTTAACTTTTACTCCACTAAGTATTTTTGATTAATTCAATACTTTTAGTCCGATCAATTTTTCACGGGCTGAATCGTTACTCGTTACTGATATGTAAACCTAATGAATCATCCCCAAGTCTGTCACGGTTTGTGAAGCTGGCTCATCATTGGCGATTTGAGTGATCAAGCATAGCCTATTAAAAAAAATGCCTCCCGAAAGATTGCGAAATCATGGCCTTCAAAAATTCCCCATCTAATCTGAAGAAGCATATCAGTAAGTTAAAAAATACAATGACATATAAGCCTGTTCTCCCTGTTCAGCTAACATTATCTAAAGCAAACCCGGCTGACTAGCTGGATGCTCCCCGTTACATGATAGCATATAGGGTCAGCTCATGATTCTGACACTGGAATAATACATAATAGTAGAGGAAGTGCTGTAGATTGCTTTTGCATATGTAGTTTTCTGTTTTTGTAAACACCTGTATGGCCTTTCACACGTTTGAAATAGTATAAACGATATCTATCCAACTTTTGACTGCCTTTTTAAATACACGCAGTACTTGTACTTTTACTTATACTTGTACTTTCAATACTTGAGTAGCAATTTTTTAAATACTTCTACCTGCAATACTTAAGTACAAAAGAAACTGAGTACTTAAGTATGGTGTTGAAAAAACACTTCTACTTTGACTAAAGCCAATTTTTTTAATATAGTACTTGTTCTTCTACTCCACTCCTCTACTCCAGTACTTTCTACATCTCTGCTGGAGACACAGCAGTACTGGGGACCAAGTACTGAAGACAAAACCAGCAGCAACCACCATTTACTTGCACACTTCTGTCAGGGGCACACACCCTCACAGGAGGAGAGAGAGCGAGAGGACTCCCGCTGCACATGAGTAGCCTACTCCAGAGCAACAGGCCAGCAGTCGACCAAACGACCAGGGGCCCGGGAGTGAGGAACCCATGACACGGATGGAGAAAAAAAAAAAAAAAACCATCAAGAGAGGACGGTGGCTCTTACACAGCCCCCCTAATTAGTGCCACCTGGCGCTAATTAGACAACGACTCTCAGCTGGTACACAGACGTCATAGCGGAAGAGACGATTTAGAACGGGGAAAAAAGGTGGAAAAAATAGATAGGGAAAAGAAGAAAGGAATAAAATGCCATGGACTGCGTTTCACACAGATTAGGACTTCACGCCAGGAAAAAAAGCCATGACGAGGTAAGGCTGCGGAAGCGTTATCCCGGCCGCCGTTAGTCCCGTCGCCGCCTGCCTTCTCGGTGGCTGGGACTAGCGGGCCTTTGCTGGTACAAGTCAGATTCCCCATCTTGGGTGAAATCTCTGACCTCTTTTTTTCATTTCCACTCTTTATTTATCTTTCCCTTCGAAAAAAAACGTAACGTTACGGCAGCAGACCGGGATCCCCTTTTTCCATTTGGTTGCATAGCAGCGCCTGAGCACTGCATATCGGAAGTAATAGAACCTGGCCTACACCAGCAAGATGTTTGGGGACGTAACATGGGTGCCCCTGGGGCTATTAAGCCCCCCCCCTCCCATCCTCCCGAGAAGAGCCTCCCTCCACGGGACGGAAGCAATAACCGGTTGCGCGCCTGTTGACGCGTTTGGAAAGCTTTTGGAAAGCGTATTTGTTTATAAAAGATGCCAGCTGGTACTGCTCGAGCCACCCAGGTGAAGCCAAGTGCACATCTATCTTATGCAGTCATTCCTTGTGTTTTGACGGACCACCGGATATTATTTCCGGCCATCCTCTGAGAGGATGCTGATGCTGCGAGAGGATGATGCTCAGGCAGCCGGCAGGGCCCTCTCAGGGAGCACAGCGTTAGGCAGGCCTGATCTGACAGACATTGACCAGCTGAGAAGGAAACTGTCACTCTGTTGTTTCAGGGTCAGCACATACACTATATTGCCAAAAGTATTTGCTCACCTGCCTTGACTCACATATGAGCTTAAGTGACATCCCGTTCCTAATCCATAGGGTTCAATATGACGTCGGTCCACCCTTTGCAGCTAGAACAGCTTCAACTCTTCTGGGAAGGCTGTCCACAAGGTTTAGGAGTGTGTTTATGGGAATTTTTGACCATTCTTCCAGAAGCGCATTTGTGAGGTCGCACACTGATGTTGGACGAGAAGGCCTGGCTCTCAGTCTCCGCTCTAATTCATCCCAAAGGTGTTCTATCGGGTTGAGGTCAGGACTCTGTGCAGGCCAGTCAAGTTCATCCACACCAGACTCTGTCATCCATGTCTTTATGGACCTTGCTTTGTGCACTGGTGCACAGTCATGTTGGAAGAGGAAGGGGCCAGCTCCAAACTGTTCCCACAAAGTTGGGAGCATGGAATTGTCCAAAATGTCTTGGTATGCTGAAGCATTCAGAGTTCCTTTCACTGGAACTAAGGGGCCAAGCCCAGCTCCTGAAAAACAACCCCACACCATAATCCCCCCTCCACCAAACTTTACACTTGGCACAATGCAGTCAGACAAGTACCGTTCTCCTGGCAACCGCCAAACCCAGACCCGTCCATCAGATTGCCAGATGGAGAAGCGCGATTCGTCACTCCAGAGAACGCGTCTCCACTGCTCTAGAGTCCAGTGGCGGCGTGCTTTACACCACCGCATCCGACGCTTTGCATTGCACTTGGTGATGTATGGCTTGGATGCAGCTGCTCGACCATGGAAACCCATTCCATGAAGCTCTCTGCGCACTGTTCTTGAGCTAATCTGAAGGCCACATGAAGTTTGGAGGTCTGTAGTGATTGACTCTGCAGAAAGTTGGCGACCTCTTCGCACTATGCGCGTCAGCATCCGCTGACCCCGCTCCGTCAGTTTACGTGGCCTACCACTTCGTGGCTGAGTTGCTGTCGTTCCCAAACACTTCCATTTTCTTATAATACAGCTGACAGTTGACTGTGGAATATTTAGGAGCGAGGAAATTTCACGACTGGATTTGTTGCACAGGTGGCATCCTATCACAGTTCCACGCTGGAATTCACTGAGCTCCTGAGAGCGACCCATTCTTTCACAAATGTTTGTAAAAACAGTCTGCATGCCTAGGTGCTTGAATTTATACACCTGTGGCCATGGAAGTGATTGGAACACCTGATTCCGATAATTTGGATGGGTGAGCAAATACTTTTGGCAATATAGTGTATGTAGGTAAGGGCTAAGCAGACATTCACAACGCTTTGCCAACCTGTGGAAAGCACAAGTTTACTCGGTCATGCTCGGATGCAGTCCACCACAGGTGAAAGTTTATTTTATTTTTTGTTTTTGTCCTTTGTTTATGCCATTCCATTTTTTTTTTGTACGCATGTTGAGGATTGTTTTATTGTACAAAATTGTGTTTTCCTAAAGCTTTACTTCTTAGCCGTCGGCCTTTCCTGCCCTCTTTAAAAGTGGTCTCAATCAATAGCTCTTAATGCTTTCCGTGGGGATTTGTTGCTTCACGGGAAGTCCACTTAACTTCCTATACCGTCATACCAGTGCCTATACCATTTTATAAACAGTGTAGCGTTAAAGCATCTAATGAGAAAAGTATTGTAGCATTGTGTCTATGCTTTATTTAGACAATGAACTGTTTAAAGTCACATATGTTCTCAACATAATTTGTTCCTGTCTTTTTTTTGTTTTTTTTTGTAGAATCTCTGAGAAATGTCTGTCAACAAGATAACACAACTTGACATTATTGTGCCCATAAGCTGATTCCCAAAGAGCTTCTTGATGAAAATAGAAGGGTGTCTTTGACATATTTGAGTAAACTTAATACAAGAATACAAGAGAAAAGGCCTAAAATGCATCAACAGTAACGATTTACGCCAGATGAATAGTCTCTGAAAGTTATGTCTTGATAGAATGTAAAAAATATAGAGCACATTGTCCTTTGGCTGGTCAGTCTACCATTCAGGTCATCTTTAGAAAGAGAACAGGTGTGCCAAATGCCTAAAGAAAACAACTAAAAACAAGTAGCAACGGGTCTTGTTGAGGGATGAATACTCCCCTCAACTCAGAAATCTTTGAAGCTGTGTGGGGTCATATTGACTGAAAATGGCATAAAAGTCAGCTGACATCCAATGAGGAGTCATTTATGAGTTCTGTACTATTCAGACATATCGTCCAACATATCAAAGCGGTGGTAAAACAAGATTCGGTCTACATGACACAGCTTCTTCCTCTGCCCCAGATTCTTCCCGTCAGTGGTGTTTAATGTGCAGCAAAACTACGGTGCAGCCGGAATTTTCTACCGAAGCTGGAAAACACTCAAATTTGCGAGCAATGTTTTTCTCTATTGTTTGCCCCCGGTCTCACCACAATGCTTCTTAGAACGAAGGCTTTTGCCACATCTCTGATAACAAGTTGTGGGATTTGACAAGGAATAGTTTTAAAACATACTTTTACAGCATCAAGTGTGTGTCAAGGCAACTATACCCAGTTAATGTCTAAGTCTTGGATGCTGATTATTGTTAACATTAACTATTAAAATTCTTAAAATGTAAAGATGCAAGTCAGGTAAAGAGATTGTAATACACCGCTCCCCATTAGTTATCAGGAGGATTCTGAAAAGAAGGCTCCGACAAGTTATTTAAATCCTTTCCTGGCAGAGTCGGCTGTCATTAACCTCTGAGAGTCTGTGAGATTTGTTCCTGACTGTAGCTGTTGAGATTCTATCAGTTTGTTTTGGCTGGCCGAGGCAAAGCTCTGCAAGGTACTTATGCTTTTTTATTAAAATTCTATTTATGCTTTGATATAGTGTATCATTTGTCTACTGCATGGGCTTGAAATGATTATATTGTTTGTGGAGTTTGGATAAGTATGGTGAAGACCATTTACTTTGACAGGAGCATGTATTTTTCTTTTTTCCTCTGATTCCTCAGTCAGTAATTTAGCCATAAAATGAATTATTATTACTGTTTAATTATTTATCTGATCAGATTTTTTAGCACTCGCAGATTTAAAGCTCACATTAGTCTGAAATTACTTCAATTTCCCCACCAATTAAGTGAAGAATCACTAATCATTGGGGAAAGGCTTTTTCCTTACATTTAAAGAATAAATTCTAATGTTGAAAGGAGAGTATAATGCTCTAACTGTACAATACACAAATATTTTTTATATTCTGACATGGAGCATTGCTTTCAGGTAACACATGTTTGCTTCTCTCTGACTGTGTAAATCTACACAGCGGAACACCAAAAAGCATCATCTTATGTATGAATGGAAATGGTGATGCCTGATTTTCTGCTTTATTTAAAATCGTCAAAGATTGCCATACCTTCACTATAGTTCACATATGTCCTCTGCTAATGTGCCTTTCATCTAGCAATCATTCTGATATTCATTATGTAAAATGGTAACCAATAGGAAGTTAAGTGGATTGAATGAAGTATTTTTTTAAAAGAACCTTCTCCTTTAAAGCTCAGTTTTAAAAAGACAGAAAGAAGAACGAGTCTAATGTAAACTCAACGTGATGGCTGCTTCATCTCTAATCTGCCACTGAAAATCTTATGTCATCGCTCTGCAGATTATAACAGTCTAACACCTCCTGAATCATCTTGGCAATGCGCAGTCTGCCGAGAGCAGACTGATTGATTTTGGACTTCGTTAAGCATGCTTGGAGAACCTGAGCTGGATTCAACACAAGGGTTTAAACACTAGAAGTCCTGGAGAATTTCAGTTTTCCTGCAAGCCCCCCCTCCCCTCATCAAGTTTGTGTATTCACTCTACCTTGCTTGCTGTTCCTATTGTAATCCAAATAACCTGTGATATGACCAGTTCCGGCACATGAGATGGATAAAGGTTAAAACAAACTGGCATCAGAACAAGAGCATGTTCCAAGCACTTTTCATTACCTGACCCTGCATCATCAGACCTTTTTGCAGGAATATATTGATAAGTCATATCTATATCTTTTATTTAGGCAAAGCTATTAAACAACCAGATATCATACGGGTCCTAGTTCATGGGCTGAAGAAAGGTTATAACCATGCTTTTCCAACAAGGCAAGGCAGAGCCTATTTAAATTGTCCATTCGCCAACAGACTCATTTATATTGCAAAGCTCACCATATCAAATTAAGAACAACTTGGAGAATAATTGTATTTTGTCTTGTTTCACCTTTTTGTGTCATTCAACATTTCAGCTTAGAAAATGATAAACAGTATGACTCTAGTATTGGAGTAACATTTCTGATACTCCAAGGAAAAGCACACAAGGAAAAGCACTATTCTCTTCATCTCACAATGCTGTCTCATGTTTTCTTCCTTTATTGCCTTTTCTTGCATAAACCTGTTACGAAGTTCCTCTGCAAGTCGCAGAATGAACTTTTGTCGACTCTCTTTGGACTTTGCGCATCGCTTGCACAACAGATGCACGCCTGTTGCAGCTATGTCCAGCCATGTCCAGCCAAAGTGCCTAGTCTCCTTTTTTAACTCTCCTTTAATGACAAATTAAGATGCTACTCAGTGGGCTTAGTGATCCATGTATCTATTTCTTCTCCATTATTAAAACATTAGCCGGAAACAAATTAGTTTATTATGTTAAATGTTCTGCTGTATTAGAGAATAACACAACCCTTGTTCGGATTAAGAATAGATCTTTTGGCTGCCACTGTATATTGACGTCTTTAGTGATCATTTACTGGAAAACAATGACCCATCCTTCACCCAGGGCTGTTCATCATATATGACCCAATGCCATGGATGTAATCTAATAAGGAAACAAGAACAACAAAAAAGAAAACAACATAGTTGTCAGAAAAATAAATGTGACCCCTGCCCAGACCTTGATGGACAGTTAAGCTGTATATATTGAAACAATATTTCAGAAAACAAAGCAACATTGAAGCACAAACAAAAAGTGCAGCACTTTTTTCAGCCTGCAGGTTTATTTGTGACTCTCTCTTTATTGTTGTGGTTGTATGGTCCATGTCTTACTTGTAAGAAAGTAAATGGGGTCTTACGTCCTCTGGCCTGTTCTGACGCAAAATTGCAGTCATCTAAAATCATCCACCATGACATGATAAGGCAAGGCAAAATTATGCTTATGAACCGCTCTCCACAACGAGTTATGTGGTAAAAGATATTTATGACGTTTGGTTGCACCATTGCTGAGTTAATGTGTCAGACTAAAACCAGGCGTCTTGAATATAAGGTGGGGAAGGGTCAGCAGAGTGAGCTTTAGCTGTCAAGAAATAAAGGAACATAATGTCCATAAGACATATTACAAAAAGCCTGTCATTGATTGATTTTGCGCCCATGTCGCCGTGACCTCTGGTTTTAGATGATGTCCATCAGACATGTCACAGTAAAGAAAAAAAACAATAAAATTGAGGATTGTTCTTTTTTTTGTGATACAAAACATTGCTGTGTGCATATGTACAGATGTATCTCAGACAGGAGACTATATCCCTCTTGGTGATCATGATTTTCATTTTTTAAAAGACGAGCTATAAAAATAATAAAAAATCAGGTTAGAAAATCCATTGAGTGACCGTGTTAATGCATTTTATATCAGGCCAATCGCATTTCACACATTCGCTGTAATGTCACAATTTATAAGGACTGCAGCCATCCTGACTTTATCTGACTAGATATAATGATAAAAGCACACCATACATATTCTATTTCACAGTAAGCACTGACCAGCTGTCTGAAGCATCGTCATGGATTTATGTCAAAGGTTTATGTCATAGATTTACTTTGACTTGGGCCAAGTTTTGCCATCCAAAATCCCTCAAACCTCATAATTTTCTATTAGTTTGTGTGAATGCTGATAAATGCATTTTCAGACCAGCCAACTTTGGACAGGATTTCTGTTAAAGGGGTCTCAGCTGAAAGACATCCCCGTTGTTTCTCTAACCGGCAGCTCTCTAAATCTCAGAGCTTCAAGTTGTACTTAAAGGGGAAAACTTGCTGTCTGTCGCCACCTTGTGAGAGGCCCTCCCATTAGGAATTCTCTAAGATATACCCAATAAAAAGGGTTTTTGGTTTATTTGTAGTTTTTGACATTTTTTTTACTTTGATTCTGGGAGTTTTTTGTTCTACATCTTAATGCCTTTGTGGAATCCACCACTGTTCTTTGGTTGAACCTGGAAAAACTGGCTGCCCTTGTGAAAAGGCCAGCCTGTGCCGAAATCCTGATGAACAGTATTAGTAACAGTTTCTTTGATGTCGCTATGGGATGGACATGTGATGTATCAACAGAGACTGGGAAATGAAAACGACATGCATCAAATTTTAGAATTATAAGGCAATACAGAAATTAATCTAGAAAATTGACAAACAATTCCAGACAGCTTTATCTTTTTCCATGTTCATCCTTCATGCATCCATTCATACACACCACTCCAACCGTACACTTGAGTAGAATTTTGCTACCCAGATTTTCGACCCAAAGAAGGAAACAAATATCTTCCTTATACTGTTCCTTATACTGTCCCTGCCTGATGATCAACAAGTTGTAAAACGCCATTTAGTGCTTTCAAATGATCATATTGGAGTCAAAAAACAGTTCATAGAGCATAACCACATATTTGGAAACTTTGGGTCACTTAAAAAGTAAATCTAGGAAATAATTTTCCTGTATGTCCATGTATCTTTTCATCCATCAATTGACTTAAAATAATTCAAGACTGTTGGAAGAGCATTTCAGGTGACCACCTCTTGAAAAACATAAAGAGAATGCAGAGTGTGTGTAAAGCAGTAGCAAAAGGTGGCTACTTTGAAGAACCTAGAATATAAGACACATTTTCAGTTGTTTCTCACTTTTTGCTAAGTATATAATTCCACATGTTAATTCATAGTTTTGATGCCTTCAGTGTGAATCTACAATTTTCATAGTCATGAAAATAAAGAAAACTCTTTGAATGAGAAGGTGTGTCCAAACTTTTGGTCTGTACTATATATATATATATATATTAATTTGTGTATGCTGGCAAATCCCACAGGACTAATTAATGTAAGCTGTTTTCACTGCAAACCGATTTCCTTCTTTTTGCTTTTGGAGAACTTCAGCATTCACAGATGTCCAAAGATTCAAAATGTCTCATTTATTCATGACTGAACTGATCTCATATACTGATTGTACTCACAACCAGAGCTCCTTAGAATAAAACAAGGTTTTTCAGTTTTCATCTGAGACACTGAGAAGTCATGCTCTTACACCAACAGACCCTACCCACCAGAGGGCAGGAGGAAACCTCCGTTATTTTGAGCGGCTGCTGTTTAAGCAGCTCGATGAGCAGAACCAGGCCTACCAACCGGCCTCTGAGGAGCCCATTCAGCTGGGGACTTACAGCAGACCTAAAGACCATCTTCCAGAGAGGGAGGCCTTTGAGGCTCTCTGCAGAGGAGAGGGGCTTCAAATGGTGAGGTGAATAATTGTGGCAGACGTAATAAGAAAACATCTATCAGAGGTAGATAAAGTGTGTGATATTTTCTCCACAGTTGAGGTGCATTTTATGAAGTGGACATGCATTGAAACTGAAAATCGGTTATGGTCATGCAACCTGTGCACCACACCCTTTTGTTACATCTGCCATAAAGATCAGCCTGAGAAAAACCTCTCTTGTGTGAGGCATGTTCACTTGATATTTTGTTTTCTGTTCATATTTTAACAGAATGAGGCAAAGCGGAATCGTCTGTTCGGTCGCTACCACGATGGTAACAGAGACGAGGAGATGGAGAAAATTAAAGAGATCGCAAAACCAAGGGTGAGATTGATGATAAATTAACAGAAACATGTGATACATCTGTTTTTTTTGGTTGAACTGAACAAACTTGACTTTTCCATTAAATGGAACATTACCAACAAATGGCAAGGACTGCTTACAATGACGGCACACAGTAACTGATAGACATCAGAATATTTGATCATTTCAAATGAAAAAGTGAAGCATGAAAAAACCTTTGGTGCAGGAACTTAGCTGTACACAAAAGAGCAGTTTCTCTGTCACAGACACATTTCAAACACATCCTACATATTCTCTATCCTCCAGGTTGTTGGATATTTGATTTGATACTTTCATTGCACTGTATTCAGCCCATATCCATGCAAGAAAAGACATATGTGATTAAAAATGGAAAGAGGGAGTAAGGTCTGCTAGATAATGTTAATTTTTGCCTTTTGTTGTATTTTTAAGCTTGCCAGAGCTACTGTAAGAGACCCCAAAACAGGAGTCCTGACTACAGCCAACTACAGAGTATCAAAAAGGTAATTCCTTCAGAGGAGAGCTTTGGGTGTTCTATTCTTGATTGTCTTTCATGTTGTATACTGGTTGCAGAATGCATAACTCGACAGACCTTTATAAATCATACTAGTTCTGGAGTGTTTGATGTAGGTGTCCTTGGATATAATAAGTGTTAGAAAGTAATATCAGTTGTATATCTGGTCGAAAAATGATTAGCCCTTGCATAATAGGTCTTCATTAACATAATAATGGGTCATTTTCTTCAGTTACTTAATTGTAGGTTGGATCAAGCAGAGAGGATAAATCCATGGGAAATCTCTCAGATGAGATGCTTGTTTCAGTGAGAAAAATCTTATAGGAAGTGAGAAGGAATAATTGCACCACTGACAAAGGGAAGGAACTGTTGTGAATAGAGAAAGAAGAAGGTTAATTGGTGATCTGGGAGAGTTGGAGTAGATCCAGGAGCTCTGTATCCTCCCTCAGATAGTAAGTAAGCAGCGTGAGAGATTGTTGAGTAACAGAAAGAAATAAGCCACGTGCTCAGCTGAGTAAAGGTCTGAAACTGAAACTCTGCACACAGCACTGAGCAGCAATGTACCTGCTGTCATTTAGCCTGCTGTCTTGAATAAAAAAAAAATGTTAAAAAAAAAACCTGGGGAAGGTAAAGAAGAGCCATGAAGAGAGGTGTTTTATTCTCAGCTAATCGGTTTGATTAGTTTATTTATTAGTTTATGATAATAAACTCAGAACTATTATTTCAGCTTTATCAAATAAGGAAACAGAAAAGAAAAATCACAATGAATTTTTACAGATGTGCATCTGATTTGTGAAAAAAACATGATATAACATGACATCTGTTGGAGCCGTAGGTGTGTACTGTGCTGTAATACGCTCTGGTTTCTTCAGTGCATGGTTGGAAGGAGAGGAGGACCCTGTCATTGAGCGAGTTAACCAAAGAATACAAGACATCACCGGCCTCACAGTAGAGACTGCAGAGTTACTGCAGGTAATGTCCTTTAATCTTCATTCGACATTCTAGAACAGGAAGGGTCTGCCCGATAGAAATGTCCACAAAATGCATGCAAACATACATGAATGGGTTTTCACAATGAAAATGCCCAAAGCCAGAGTCGACGTATTCGTGAGAGGAGTTCATGAACTGAGAGTGCTTCGCTTATAAATAAGCAAACTGCCAGATAGTTTTTTTTTTTTCCAACGTTTAGAGTTTCAGTTGACGGTGCCAAAATAACCATCCCGTGGTGTGCGAAAGTCACAGACCTCACAGTAGGACGTCTTCTTTGGTCACAGGTCATCCATCCAACACTCCTAAAAAAAAAATCAAGCTAAGATGTTGGATCTCTCACATAAGTCGATCTACGAGAATCTGTAGCTATTGTGTGTCATGAACTGGTTATTCTGGCACAAAATGGAAATCCTAAAACTCCCAAGAAAGTATCACACTAAGATTTAAAAAAGGAACATCCCTTGGCTGAAAAGCTGAAGAATGGATTTGATCAAGACATCTGTCCGTAAGAAATCTGAAGTTACACTTGATAAAAACGATTAAGTAAGTAGTACATCAATAATAAATGAACAACGGTTCTATGAAAAAAGGGAACATTTTCTAAGAAATCCCTGGAGAGACAATAAGTCATGAGTCAAACTTCAAAATGGGCTATAAAACCAGAATAAATATCGGTAGATTTTTGTGAACCCTTTTTACTGGAAGATTTTCTGTCCAAAGAGAGAGAACATAATTAAATTATAGACCAAAGCACTAAGTGTGACATCACCGATAGCTCTGTGAATAGTGACTGACACACAACTCCGCCAGAAGCTTCAATTATAAAACGATTTAGAAATCTTGACTTTTAATCAGAAAAGGCTTTTCAAATAAAAAAAACATTGTTTTACTTTATGTGCTGAATCACAAGTAAAAAGGAGAGGACAGGAGGTCTTACTCTTTAGCTGTTGTCATAAACTGTCATTGTGTGTGACCGACCAGGTTGCCAACTATTGAGTTGGAGGACAGTGTATTTTATCTTTGTAGAAGGATGAGCCTGATGCTTTCAAAAGATTAGGCACTGGAAATCGTGTGGCAACTTTTTAAAACTACGTAAGTACGTGCGTTCAGTTGCCCCTGATTGAGGGCCGGTGGTGAAAGTTTCCTGAAGTTAACTTTGTCTTACATTCTTGAAATATTAACATTTTCCATTCCATTACCATCTGTTTTACATTAGTTATTTTAAATTAATAATATAGGCATCAAATGAATGTATATCGTAATAGTATCCTGTCACAAAAAGCGGTACGGTGGTTCTAACGTATTGCTTGCATGAATCAGGACAGAACGGGATCAAAATGTTCTTTCCTGCAAGTTCATTTTCTCCAAATAGCCCAACACACTACACTAAATCTGTAATGATTAAGAATTTTGCTTAAATAAAAACAATACAGAGAATGTAAGTTTAAGAAATTCACAGTCATATAATCCCTGAGTAACCTGAATGTGTTTTGTAGGTCTTATTTGGCTTTTTGTTAATCTTAATCAAGTGTTGAGATTTCACAGAATATTGGAAACTCTTCTCATAACTATAATGGAGCAAAAAGAGTTTTGGTGCCGTAAACAAACACAGAAGGAAAGATTCTAAATCTTTCATATTGTATTACATTTTAGTTGAATTGTGTTGTCTTGAGTGCCATCCTTCCAAAGATTTGATTCTCTATAAACTGCTCAGTTGGAATTGTTGTTTCAGGATGGTTGGTGTGTGTGTGTGCCAAGATAAAATGAAGAAGAATACTTAGGAGGCCGATAGGTTGGTATAATTCTCAGAAATTAGTTCTTCAGGTCGTGCATAACCTGTCTCTTCTACATAATATCACTCCTTATCACTGAAACCTTTTGTCCTTTCTCCACAGGGGACAGCGGTATTCTGGTACAATCTCTTCAAAAGCGGAGAGGGAGACTACAGGACAAGGCACGCAGCCTGCCCAGTTCTAGTAGGAAGCAAATGGGGTCAGTGGAAGTGCAGGACACAGGCCAAACTCCAGCGGAGATGAGCTTGGATGACTCAGACAAAACGTGCAAACTGTTGGGGGCTTTTGTTGCACGCATTCAGAATCAGAATCAGAAATATTTCATTCACCCTTCAGCTACCTTTTCCATGTGTTGGTGACTGTGATGGACAGGCCAACATCAACAGATCAAGTATTTTCTTTGTCTTGTACTGAATACTAAGCATTGTTTATGTTTTCACAAAGAGAAACAGAGGATGAATCAGCTTTAACTTCTTCTTTTCATATTTGGCTTCAGTTTGCCTCAAGGTCACCTGATGAGGGGGAAAAAATAGGAAACGCTTTGTTGGAAAAAGTTGTATAAATAAAATATCCAGAAACTAAGACTTTTTTGATTTTAAAACAATAACCAACTCCTGCCAGAGTGATTGAATAATACATAAGGAGAAACAAAGGGGCCATGCGACACGGTGGAGGCTGTGTAGTGGTATGGGACTCAGGTTTGACGCTGATAATAATCCTCCTGGTTTAGGTATGTGGACGTTCAGCCAGAAACGGATGGATGCAGATGAATGACTCAAAGTATATCAATAAAGAAACGTCAGAGCTTTTTTGGGGGGAGAAATGAACCATTCTTACCTGTTCAGTGTTTGATTTGAGCTCAGCCCATCAAGAAGAATGATTCAGACAGGCATATGCTATAATTTTATCTTTTAGCAATACATCTACAGACAAAGTGGTTATTATCATTCAATAGTTTATGCTCTGTGAAAAAATATCCTTCTGGATCAAAGTCAGTTATTTCATAACTACAGATTTCCAGCACCAAAAGCGTAGAGAGAGAGAGAGAGGATACAAAGACTTCCATCTTTGTTTGCTTTTGTGAGGACAGAAATGACGGTGAGGTTGTGAAATCAACCGATTTCTGGATCACATTTGCTGTTTTTTTTTCTAGTGTCAAACAAGTGGATTCATGAACGAGGACAAGAGTTCAGGAGACCATGTGGCCTCACAGAAGTGGACTGAAACTGGAGTCCCCCCCCCCCACTTCACTCGCAGACTCACACCGTGCCTTGATTTTGAACACAGTATAAAAAAGACATATGGTAGAACACTCCAGTTGGTGTTTTCTCCCTGCACCTGGCTTTTTGCTGGAAAACTACTTGCAAAAGAAGCTTCATCCCGTTTTATTGTGCCATTGAGAATATCTTGTTTTCTATCAGAGGTTTTAGAGCAGCTCTGTCAGACATTCGTTCATCTCTCCCACCTCTTTAAATAGCTCCAGTTCATTTGATGAATCAGACAAAATGTTTATTGAAACTTTTGATTACCGTAGATTCCAGAATATGAGCTGCCATTGGGTGTGAACGCTGGGGCTTAAACAATGATGCACCTAAATTATGGATTTTTTTATCTTACTTTTATGGGGTAACGAACTTCCTTGGAAAAAAACATTTAGCCTCATCACATCAGACCTAGGAACAGGTTACCGAACAGGTCAAAGTGGATCAACGAAACTGTTCGAATGTAATCAAACGCCCTTCAGATCAGTCATTTCGCGTTACCTGCACACCATCATGGGAAAACATCATAGGTACAAACTTTCTTTGTTTTGTCTTTTTAAAGTCACTGGATGCAGCTTATATTCAGGTGCTCTCAATAGTCCAAAATGTACGGTTTTAGAAAAAAAAAAAAATTAAATCTGCTCATTCTTAGTTTCCAATTAACACTTTTTAGATGTTTTTATTTTCACAAATTTAAAACACACATAAACAAAGTCACCCCTATATGCATATCTGAATATTTAAACAGCAACGACCAACTACGAGCAGTTAAGCAGCATTACATGAAAAACATGTCTATTGATATTTAAAAAAATACATCTATCCTTTTGACCAATGTGTGTTAGATGAGTTTCTTCACACTTGTTTGAATGTAATGTGCACATCTTTTAGCTGTTTTGTTATGTGTTCAGAGTTAGAATCTGTAACGGAGTTAAGAAAAAAAAAAAAAAAAGATTTGGACAAAGAACAGAAAAAGCAGTCTGCTGATGAATTTGGTTTCTGAAAACAACTAAAGATTTTAATACCACATTCCAAATGTGCTCACAGTCACCTTTGCAGTGGATTGTCAATATCTGTCCCTGTAGCTGATTTAAAAATGCAAATATTTCCCCAAACATTAAGTTACCAGGAACTCCAGTAATTCATTGAGCAAATGTGACCCCCGAACAGTTTTAATCCCTTTTCAAACCTGACAGAGAAATACTTTTCATCCAAAGTGTTTCTATTGTATGTGTATTTATACTGTTTAAATTATTATACTGGTGTATCCTCACTCCTCAAGTTGGCAATAAAAAAAGTTAAAGTATTGTATTAAAACGTGTTTTTGCTATTTGAATTGGTTTTGTTGTCGCTCTCCATCAAAATGTCAAAAAAAGTGATCTGCATTCTCTGTGAGCATGTAATGGTCATTTAAATGTTCCATGCTGATACAGTAAACTTGATAATAAAAATTCCTGTGAGATAATAGAAAAAGGTTTTAATGAAGACATGCTATACAAAGTGTGAAAACGGAGCCGTTTTCCCCTTCTCTTCCCGAGGTGTAGCCGCAGGAGTCTCACATACAGCGTCACGTCACTGCATTATCCTTCACTACATTTCCCAGCATGCAACACAGACCGGCCGTCGCAGCGGCGGCAGTTCCAGACATAATTCACCCGGTAATTTACGGTAGTTCAGAAATTACAACAACACCTTTCAATCAATACACTATATTTACAAAACCAGCGTAGCGAACAGTGAGGTACCCACTGCTTCAGCTTCATTATACATTTCGTAGTCGGCAATAAACTTCCCAGTCAAACATACACCTTCTCGCCCTTGGTCCGTCAGCATACTGGTCCGTGTGGAAACGCGTAATGCATCGGAGCCAGCTTTTTATTCATTGTCCCAGGACATTGGAAATTACTATGTTGGGAAAGGGGTGTTAATGTTTGGAATAACTGTTTGCATTGGAAATTATTAGCTGAATTGGGACTGTTATCATGGTTAAACTATTTTATAATTAGGGATGTTTTGTCCTCTGCTTACTCTTCCTCTGACTTGAGACTGGGGCTGGCGAGCCGCTTTCTCACATATGGTGTCAGAAGTGGGATTGTAGCGCAGAAGAAGTTCGCAAAGAGGAGAGGAGGAAGGTTTCAGTCAAGGGCTGCGATGTCAGTGGTCAGGCTGGCCAAAGATGATTCAACGGAGCCTCCTGGTGATGAGGAGGACTGAGTGGAAGAAGAGAGAGTCCAGGGCTCAGATGATGATGCTGAGGGTGGAGCCATAGGAGGAGCAGCTGAAGTGTCCGGGGAGCTTGACCTGCGTTCACTGTATAACCTGCTACAGACTGCTATCAAGACCCAAGAGCATGAGTCCTACAAGCATGAACAGAGGTGGAGTAGCGTTCAGGTCCAGTTGAACAAGGTGTGGGATGAGTTCGACACTGGGTGACAAGGGCGTCAGCGACCGGTGGTTGAAGCCGCTGTACCAGCACTGCCAGTGAGACCACCAGTACCGCCTCCAGAAGCCCGGCGGAGTTCAGCAGCCAGACCACCAGTGCCACAGCATTCAACAGTGCTTCCTGAAGTCCTGCTGAATCCAGGGGTACCGTCGGCAGCGCCATATCCTGTGCCAGTTCCGGCAGCCTCACAGTATCCAGCAATAGACCCAGCTTCGCCGTCCCCAGTGGCCTGGACCAGAGCAGCAGTGCCAAAGCTGGAAGCAATACCTCACAACTTTTGAGAGACTTGCTGTCGCCTATAGGTGGCTGAGAGCCAATTGAGCTGTATACCAGGTGCCATATCTTACGGGCCGAGTCAGGGCAGCTTATGTGGCAATGGACAGTTTTGATGTCATGGACTATGATAAGGTGAAAGAGGCCATTCTCACCAAATTCAAGATAAATGAAGAAGTCTACAGGCAGTGTTTCCAAAATCCAGAGGTCAGGACTGGGGGGACTCCACGGGAGTTGTATAACCGCCTGAAGGACCTCTACAGGAAGTGGATTAAGCCGTCTGGGAAGTCAGTGGAGGAAGTAGGAGAAATCCTGGTCCTGGAACAGTACCCTAGCTCCAGAAGTGCGTGTCTGAAGGAGTGCCGCCCAGCTAGAGGCCAGCAAGCTGCAGAGCTAGTGGAAGCCTTCCTCGCTGCTCGTCGGGGGCCAAAGACTTTCCGGGTTCAGACCTACAGCCGACCAGCTATTGGAGGTAAGTCTGGGGGATTCGGTGGTGGAGTTGGTCCTAGGGGATCTGGACAGAGTAGGACACAAGACACACAGCCTACCATCTTCCTTCCACCTGACAGCATAGGCCCCTGTACACTTCCCCAGCCACCTCACAGCCTAGACAGGCCCCAGCACCCACCGCCACACAGAGCAGGACTTGTCTTGTATGTCACTACTGCAGCCAACCTGGTCACATGATTCGGGATTGCCCCGTTAGGAAGGCTAAAAACCTGTGTAGCCTATCAGGGCCTGGAACTGGAGTTGTTGCCAGATTACCGACTGCACATGTCAATGCAAATGGAAAAACTACAGTTGCTCTCTTAGACTCAGTTTGCATGCACACCTTAATCCAGCCCCATCTGGTTTGCTGTGTGAATGGAGATGAGCATGTTCACCCGGTAGGAGACGTGTTTTTGTAGAACGTGGGAGTGGTTAAAGGACTGAGCTATCCTGTAGTGTTGGGGCAGGATGTGTTCATTCTGCCTGAGCTTATTCAATCTTCCAAGCCAGTTAGCCTGGTTGTAACAAGCTGGGCCCAGCTCTCAAATTGTTATAAGTGTGCTGTATAGACCTGTGTGTATGAGTTAAAAATGTCATGCATGTCAGAGGGACATTTCATTGGTTGGGAATGCAACGGAAGAACTGGGGAGAGGGTGCAGTTAAGGACGCAGGAGACGGAAAGAGGAAGAGACTCCATTGTTTTCCTTGGGTGTGCAGTCCTGTTCTTCTCTGCTAGGTGAGAGTAAAATAATCTAGAAAAAGAGACAGTTTGCTCGGAGGCAAAAACGTTGCAGGAGAGCCACTGCAGTTGATATCTGATCTGCGGGGCATAGTTGCATTGAGTGTTTAGTTCATAGTTTACATGTTTGCCGAGTTAATAAGCCTCAACCCAGCGCGGGGGCAAGCCAAAAACGGTTAGCCCCTCCCAGATGCAGCTCGTAGCTACTCAGGTTAGCATCCTGGCTTCCGAACAGCCAGTGGTTCCAATGGAGTAGCCAGTGTGGGAGCAACGCTGTCTGGATAGCGCCCTGGTGGCCAGGAAAGCCAGAGGCTCCTCCGGCGACGAGGGAGAGACTTCATCAGCCACCCGGTCGGACATCTCGTGCGGTTTTTTCCGTTTCACTGGAAGACTGGGACTACAGTACTGTGAGTAAAGGACATTTGGAAAAGGACTATTTCTTCAGCTAAAACAGTTAACAGGCATGCAACGATTTATTTTGGGGTATTTTCTTTTATGTACCGACTATTTTGTTTAGTACCTGCACAGGTGTTTTGAAGCTTTTGTTTTAGTGTGGCCACACGGTTTTCTGTCATTTTCAGATGTGATCTGCCCTTAGTGGCTGAAGAGTACTTTATTTACTGTGGTGGATTTACTGGGGAATTATCCTTTGTGTTATTCAGTGTGTTTAAAATAAATGTTTTATTTGAAATATATATATATATATACCTGAATTTTGGCCACTTCTTTCCAGCTGCTGTTTCCCCCTCTGAACCAGACCTTTCACACCTGACTGCTCAGCAGGCCAAGGAAGTGCAGGCTGCCATACCTGCAGGTCTTTTTTCCGAGCAGCCGGGGCACACTTCACTGGTGGACCATAACATCCCGCTGAAAGACTCCACTCCGGTGAGGCAGCGGATGTATCTCCTGATACATCAGGGCACATCCAAATGTGCCCTGAGTGCTTGTTGCCGGCCCTCCAGCAGGAGCTGGAGGACATGAAGCAGCTTGGGGTCATTGAGCGTTCCAGCAGTGGTTGGAGTAGTCCCATTGTGCTCATGCCGAAGAGGGATGGGAGCATCTGTTTTTGCAAGGACTTCAGACAAGTTAATGCTTAGTCTCACTTCGATGCATACCCCATGTCGAGGCTGGAGGACCTTATCGAGCGCTTTGGGAGGGCGCTTTTCATCACCACCCTGGATCTTTGTAAGGGGTACTGGCAGGTCCAGTCGGCGGAGGGAGCCAGACCATACACGGCCTTCCGTACCCTTCAAGGTCTTTACCAGTTCACTGTTATGCCCTTTGGTTTGCAGGGGGCACCAGCCACTCTCCAATGGCTGATGGACCAGGTCTTGGAGGGTACTGGAGCTTATGCTGCAGCCTATTTGGATGATGTGGTGATTTACAGCGCCACCTGGCAAGACCACATTCAACACCTGGCCGAGATTTTGAAGCGCATTCACGCAGCTGGGCTGACGACCTGACCCGAAAGTCGGGGTCAGTAAGGGTGAAGTGGGAGGAGGATTATGAACGGGATTTCCAAGACTTGAAGGCAGCATTACTCTGTGAACCTGTGCTGCAGAGTCCAGACTTTGAAAATCAGTTTGTTATGCAGACTGATGCCTCTGGAGTTGGGCTGGGGGTGGTCCTTCTCCAGGGGGAGGCTGAACAGCCGAAAACTTTTTCCCCATGAGACCAGGTATTCTGTGGTGGAGCTGGAGTGCCTGGCCGTAAAATGGGCTCTAGAGTCTTTTAAATATTACCTTTTATGAAAAGACTTTCTACTTGAGACTGACCATAGGGCATTGCAATGGTTGGGTAAAAAGAAAGACTCAAATGCACGCATCACAAGATGTTTATTGTCTTGGCAGCCATTCCGTTTTAAGATTCGGTACAGGGCAGGGAAGCTGAATCCTGCGTTGGATTTCCTGTCTCGCCACCCCTGTGTCGAGACGTCAGAAGGGGGAAGGAAATGTGAAAACGGAGCCGTTTTCCCCTTCTGTTCCCGAGGTGGAGCCGCAGGAGTCTCACATACAGCGTCACGTCACTGCATTATCCTTCATTATCTGCATTATCCTTCACTGCATGCAACACAGACCAGCCGTCGTAGCGGCGGCAGTTCAAACATAATTCACCTGGTAATTTACGCTAGTTCAGAAATTACAACAACACATTTCATTCAACACACTTTATTTACTAACCAGCGTAGCGAACAGTGAAGTGTACCCACTGCTTGTAAATAAACCGCAACACGCTTTTTCACTGGAATTTTGTCGTCCGCTGGTTCTTACCACCTTATTGCAAGTCCTCTGCTTACTCCTCCTCTGGGGCTGGCGAGCTGCTTTCTCACACAAAGGCTTTCTCTGTCACCGTACAGAGGGGTTTGATGTGGCCCGACAAAGATGACAGTAAGAAATACAATCACAGAGTATGAAGTTTATTGAAACAGATTACTTCTATTTATTATTGAAATAGTTTTACATGTTTTTGGCGGCACTGTTTAATAAAAGGGGAAAAACTCCACCCCAATAACAAAAAGGATTTAGAGAGTGACCTGCCAAAAAAAATCTTCTCAACACATACAGTATCAATTGAATAAAAAAAGAAAGGTTATAAGAGTATACACAGTATATTCATATTCATGGTGCATCAACCAGCCACAAAAATTTAAGGTGGTTGCTGTGGCTCTGCAGCAGGTGTGTGTGTGTATTTGTGTGTGTGTGTGTGTGTGTGTGACCCTTCTCTTTATGTACATTTGTGCTCACCTCCTGACTCTAAAATTCCTTGTGCCTGAAACACCTGTTAGGTTATTCTGACCGTCGTATTTTTGTCACTTTTCATCTCCACTCTCATATTTTTGCTTTGCAGCTTTATGCATAACTGGTATTCTACTTAATAATTCACCTGAATGTCTTAGGACTCTTGTAAACGTGGTAGTGCTTTACAAAGCACTACCCTGTGGAAAAAAAAAGAAAAGAAAAGCGGGCTCCTGAATCTGACAGGGTTGAAGTGAACTGGATAACTAGAGGATTGACTCCAGTATGGGAAAAAGATCATATCTTTATGACAGTATCTATTATTTAATCGCTGTCCAGAAATGAATAATAAAAAAAAATGTTTACACTTCATCGAGTGAAACCATTAATAATACCTTATTAATGGACGGAAACAAGATGTCATATGTTCACTAATGAGTGAGGCTTAATTGCCCATTGTGTATACAGAGGTAGGGGCAAAGCTTTCTAAGACATTTGCCGATAATACATTTTCATCAAAACATTGATGCAGTACAGGTTCTCAGACGACACGTACAATCTCTATTAAGACTGAAACCCTGTTGAGGGTACACTTGTCACATCTGTGTAGTTCGTTAACTGAGTGAGTTCACCAGTGTGGGCCAGACGGTCCCGATCCGATAAGGAAGTTGTGACATTGCTTCCCTGAGCGGGAGAGGGATGCTTTAGATCCATGTCTTCTACAGGCTGGCAGAGAAATAGGAGGCGCTGGGGAAAGAGAAGGGAAATAGACCAACTTAGACAAGATTATCTCCATATTACGGTCTGAATTAAAAGCACAAAAGCGTAAGTTATTAAACAAATCCTATAGTCCCCTGGGATTTTTGTATAGCTTTTTACATAACTTGGGTAAACTATTCATGGTCAACTATGGCCATGGAATATTGTTTGGCAATGTTTTGCAGAGGGCCATAATATGTGTTTGTGTGCATGCTTGCCGGAATTTTAAACTCACCTCCGCAATGGTACCTTTTCCTCGGATCATTTTGATCAACACAAACAGCGGGATGAGGGACAGGGAGACTGTGGCGATGAACCAGCCGAGGATGTTGGCCCACAGTGGATATACGTAGCTGTTGCTGAACCTCAGTGGAGAATATTTGACAATAGAAAAGACGAAAGTTCCCTGCGAAGAGATGAGAAACAGTGGGTTGGTTTTAAATGTGAAATAGGCTGAAATGACATACAAACAAAGCAAAGAACAATACATGTAGAAAATCTACTGTTTTTTTTTACTTTCCAAGTTTTTTTCCCCTATAAATTTGTCTTATATCGGACATCCCCATTAGAAAACCGTGTATTTTCACTCACAAAACAGATGAAGGGAGTTATATAGCACCAGCAGTACTTCATGAACCGATTTGGTCTGTAACCAATCATGTCTTCGATGTTGTCATAAAAACGATCAGCACCTGTAGGGGTGAGGGGAAGACATCAGAATCATCAGCTTACACGTGATCAATTTCAAAAGCGCACCGTTCACCAAACGGCGAAAGAGAGTTGTTTGTCCACAGTATGAAGCCTACCCACGAAAAAATAGGACTTACCGTAAACCCACCCGATAGTGATCGACTGGCAGAAGGAGAGGAGGAGCAGGGTGGTGCCACTGCAGACATGGTGGTCTAACAGCTGGAGTAGGTATATCCCCCCCTGTAAATGAGATAAGAAATAAGACCAACATATGGAGTGAACATTATAGTAATGCCTGTGGATAATTTGTCTTCATTTAATTGCAAAGAACATTTCCTAAATCCAGAAAGCATAACAAGAGCACAAATGCACCATAAATGAGACTTTTCTTCCTACTCTTCATAATGTAAATAAAGGATCTGTGTGTTCTTTGTATGATATGGAAAGCATTAGGTTTGGTCTTTCCCCAGCTAGTCACATTCATCAATAAGTCTCTGTTTGAAATTTGATATGATGGTGGGAGAGTGAGAATATAGAAAAACAGCACATTTGAAAACTCAACTTGGCCTTCTGTGTTTGGCACACAAAACAGAATGATTATTTGATTGATTTTAATAACAGTCCTTTATCATTTATAAATCTTATGATTTGGTTTAAAAAAACTACCAATATAAGAAATTAAAGAGTGGCTACATGTGGTCACTGAAGAAGAATCCAAGCAAAACGATCAAATTAGTAACTACAGTTGCATTTCCCACTCAGATTAAGACACACATTGCAAGCATGTTCCAGGGTGCTGGTGGACACTGTCCTATAGGGAATGGCAGATTCTTATATGGGTGAATTTTACACTGAGAATACACAAAGCTGAAGCAGTTTCATAATCACACACCTCCGGTAATCTATCTTCCCAATGTAGCCTAAAGTTCACTTTAATAAGTGAAAGATCCGCCTTTTGCATGTTACATTTACAGCAGCCTCTCCTGAATAGAACACTGATTGTTTAGTGGGTCAGTCTCAAATGCAGTTCAGATGTGTCTGTGCCTTCGGAAAACAATTCTGTGAACATTACAACAGAATAATACAAATCACTAGGAGATGGTGGTGGTGGTAATCTGGACTCAGTTCGAAGGCTTGCCTGATAAATCCTGCTCTCAAAACAAAAGACATTCTAACCAGTATTTGACCTTAAACTCCTTGGACTCCGTGCAAGAAAAAGTGTTTCTCAAAGTGGATCCAAAAGCCCTGTGACCACCTGGCATGAAGCTTAAAGCTAATTACTGACTGGGAAACCAGACAAGAAATCAGCTGGACTCCACTATTACAGAACAAAATGGACATGAAAGGAGCAGGCACCTAGGCCAAGAGCTCTCCATCCATCCATAATCCATGCCCCTTATTCCTGGTAGAGTGGCGGGGGGCTGGAGCCTACCCCAGCTGACCTCGGTTGAAGCGAATTTATAAACAATATCTCTGAGAGCATATGGTAACAGAAATGTGAATGTATGGGTTACATGCTAATCATGCAGTGGAACAAGCTATTTTCTCAGTAAGTGGCCGACTTATTTTTCTTTAGGGATAAACTATTTGTGATTCTGATGTTGGTGACGGTGGAACATCTCAGCCACAGAGAAAGTCCATCCCTCACACTGTTCAATCATTCCCACGCTTACAATTCAAATCATTAAGACATGCCAACACATCCTGTTGCTATTGGTAAATGACCTTGGTAAATGATCCACAAGTTTAACTGCTCGGTAAAGTACGCACTATCAGAGATTTGTTCTTCTGCCAGTGCCAAGGTAAAGAAAAAAGTAATAACATCCCCAAATTCCACGGAAAACATTACTCCTCCTCAGCTCTGACCTTTTCAGTAGAGAAATGAATCACCATGTCCTGACTTTTGATTTCCGAAATGCCTAAGAATAATCTAACCCCCTTTTTCTATAAAGAAAAATAATAATTGAAAAAATTGAAAGAAATCAAATAAAAATAATTTCCTTGACTATAACGTGCCATTTATTAAACCACATCCAATAAAATCTAAGAAATCATTTAATCCTTTAATTCAAGTCATATGACCCCATGATATTGTATATAACCCTCATGTCAATATTTTTTGACCATTCGACCTGCAACTCGCACATCATGGAACACTCACACTGGAACTGTTGCATACAGGATATACTGCACACTGACCTCAGTCACCAAGGGGAGTCCTAGCAAAAAGCAGAAACAGCAGATGACCAGCAGGGTCAGCTCACGTCTGTAGCCTTGACGCAGGTAAGTGGGGAAATGATCGACGAGTGATGTCATCACGCATTCCATCCCAACAAACTGCAAAAAGCCCATTGAGAGCAATACATGAATAAATAAATAAATTACTTTCTGTCATTTCTTACTTAGTTCATACACGCATTGATTGAGACACTGGGCGATTACCTGGCTGTCCAGTCCAAGTAGAATGATCATGAGAAAGAAACACACTGACCACACCTGTGGCATGGGCATCATAGCTACAGCACGTGGGTACACAATGAATGCCAACCCTGGGCCTGGAAACAAATACATGCAATAGAAACACATTATGTGAATACAAGTCACTGACCAACATCACAGTGTTTCAACAAATAATAAAACTTGATGTCAGCATCTGCTGTTTAAAGAAGTCCAGGTCAGGGCTGGTCTTCTACACATATGCTACACAAAAGCAACACTGGTGTCAAAAATAGATTTGCAACATAAGATGGAAAAATCCAATGCAGTTAAGCTTTTTCAGACATATAAGTGATCCTGGATAAACCTAATTCTTTCCCTCAGAAAAAAAAGAGTTTCTTCGTTCTATTTTAGTTAAACCAATTTTATTTGAAATAAACAAAACCATAAATTCTCTTTTTCAATTGGTCTGGTTTTGGGTCATTTGTAATAATAATAATAATAAACATAACAGTTACAGTTACAGCCCCTCCCTGGGCTGCCACCTTATCGTGGAGGAGGGGTTTGAGTGTCCCAGTGATCCTAGGAGCTATGTTGTCCGGTGCTTCAAGCCCCTGGTAGGGTCACCCAAGGCAAACAGGTCATAGGTGAGGGATCAGACGAAGCGCAACCCAGAAGACCCCTTAAGATGATTTCGACAAATGGACCCAGCGTTCCCTTGCCCGGACGTGGGCCACTGGGGCCCCCCCCTGGAGCCAGGCCCAGGGGCGGGGCACGATGGCGAGCGCCTGGTGGCCGGGCCTTCACCCATGGGGCCCGGCCGGGCCCAGCCCGAAAAGGCAACATGGGTCCCCCGTCTCATGGGCTCACCACCCATGGGACGGGCCAAGGGGGTCGGGTGCGTTGTGCCCTGGGCGGCGGCCGGAGTCAGGGACCTTGGCGGACCGATCCCCGGCTGCATATGCGCCAAACGGCAGTACAGAGTACCCACCCTTTTTGGAGTCCTTAGAGGGGGTACTGGAAGGTGCCCCCTCTGGGGACTCCCTCGTTTTGCTGGGGGACTTCAACGCTCACGTGGGCAATGACAGTGAGACCTGGAGGGTCGTGTTTGGGAGGAATGGCCCCCCCAGCTTGAACCCGAGTGGTGTTCTGTTTTTGGACTTCTGTGCTCGGCACGGATTGTCCATAACGACTACCCTGTTCAAGCATAAGAGTGTTCATATGTGCACCTGGCACCAGGACAATCTAGGCCGCAGCTCAACGATCGACTTCGTTGTCGTTTCAGCTGATCTGCAGCCGCATGTTTTAGACACTCGGGTCAAGAGGGGGGCGGAGCTTTCCACTGACCACTACCTGGTTGTGAGTTGGCTCCGATGGTGGGGAGGATGCCGGTGAGACCCGGGAGGCCCAAACACATTGTGAGGATCTGCTGGTAGCGCCTGGCGGAGTCCCCTGTTAGGCAGAGCTTTAACTCCCACCTCCGGGAGAGCTTCAAGCACGTTCCGGGGGAGGCGGGGGACATTGAGTCCGAGTGGGCCATGTTCCGCGCCTCCATTAATGACGCGGCCTCCCGGAGCTGCGGTCGCAGGGCGATCGGTGCCTGTCGTGGCGGCAACCCTCGAACCTGCTGGTGGACACCGGCGGTGATGGATGCCGTCAGGCTGAAGAAAGAGTCCTATCGGGCCTTTTTGGCTTGTGGGACTCCGGAGGTAGCCGATGGGTATCGGCAGTCCAAGCGACATGCGGTTCGGGTGGTCGCCGAGGCAAAAACCCGGGCGTGGGAGGAGTTTGGGGAAGCCATGGAAAAAGACTTCCGTATGGCCTCGAGGCAAGCCTGGGGATCCGGAGTTGGGCTCTCTAATCTCCGGGGCTGAGGTCACCGAGGTAGTCAAAAAGCTCCGGGGGTGGATAAGATTCGGCCGGAGTTCCTCAAGGCTTTGGATGTTGTGGGGCTGCGTTGGCTAACGCGACTCTGCAACATCGCGTGGACATCAGGGGCAGTTCCGCTGGATTGGCAGACTGGGGTGGTTGTCCCCCTATTTAAAAAGGGGGACCGAAGGGTGTGTTCCAACTACAGGGGGATCACACTCTTAAGCCTCCCTGGGAAGGTCTATTCAGCGGTTCTGGAGAGGAGGGTCCGTCGGACAGTCGAGCCTCGGATTGAGGAGGAACAGTGTGATTTTCGTCCTGGCCGTGGAACGCTGGACCAGCTCTATACCCTCAGCGGGGTCCTGGAGGGTGCATGGGAGTTTGCTCAACCAGTCCACATGTGCTTTGTGGACTTGGAGAAGGCGTTCGACCGTGTCCCTCGAGGTATCCTGTGGGGGGTGCTCCGGGAGTATGGGGTACCTGGCCCTTTGTTACGGGCTGTTCGTTCCCTGTACGACCGGAGTCAGAGTTTGGTTCGCATTGCCGGTAGTAAGTCGGATCCGTTTCCGGTGGGAGTTGGGCTCCGTCAAGGTTGCCCTATGTCTCCGGTCTTGTTCATAACTTTTATGGACAGGATTTCTACGCACAGCCGAGGTGTTGAGGGTGTCAGTCTTGGTGGCCTTAGGATTGCATCTCTGCTTTTTGCAGATGATGCGGTCCTGTTGGCTTCATCAAGTCGGGACTTACAGCTCTCGCTGGAGCAGTTCGCAGCCGAGTGTGAAGCAGCTGGGATGAGGATCAGTGCCTCCAAGTCCGAGACCATGGTTTCTCACCGAAAAAGGGTAGAGTGCCTTCTCCGGGTCGGAGCGGACGACCCAAGTGGAGGAGTTCAAGTATGTCGGGGTCTTGTTCGCGAATGGGGGTAGGGAGCGTGAGATTGATTGGCGGATTGGTGCGGCGTCTACAGTAATGCGGGCGCTGTACCGGTCTGTCGTGATGAAGAGAGAGCTGAGCCTAAAGGCTCGTCTATGGTCACGAACTTTGGGTAGTGACTGAAAGAACGAGATCCCCGATACAAGCGGCCGAAATGAGTTTCCTCCGCAGGGTGGCTGGGCTCTCCCTTACAGATAGGGTGAGAAGCTCGGCCCATCTGGGAGGGGCTCAGAGTAGAGCCGCTGCTCCTCCACGTGGAGAGGAGCCAGCTGAGGTGGCTCGGGCATCTGATCAGGATGCCTCCTGGTCGACTCCCTGGGGAGGTGTTCCGGGCTCGTCCCACCGGGAGAAGGCCCAGAGGAAGACCCAGGACACGCTGGACGGACTATGTGTCCCGGCTGGCCTGGGAATGCCTTGGGATCCCCCCCCGCTGGCGCTGGCGGAAGTGGCAGGGGAGAGGGAAGTCTGGGTCTCCCTGCTTCGGCTGCTACCCCCGCGACCCGACCTCGGATAAGCGGGGGATAATGGGCAAAGCCCATTCATTTGTAATGTTTTGTGTGAGTTTGTCAAACGCAGTGCTTTAAAATTACATTAAAATGAGTACATGCACATGACTTTTATATGTTCTGAATTATATACACTGATTTAGGGTTATATAAACCACACAGGTTAATAGTGTCCAATAATCCAAGTCCCAAAAAAACTATAGAAGCTGCCAAAGTATATAATGAAATTAGCATGTATTAACATTGTACACTGTAAAAAAAACAGAAATCGAAGAAAATACACTGAAAGTGTTGCTCTGATGCACATTGCAACCAAAACTTTACCCTGCTCAATGCTTACCTGACTCCGCCACTTCAGAAATGTCCACGCCTTGCTCGTACGTCATGAAACCCAGAACTGAGAAAATGGCGAAGCCTGCCACAATGCTGGTGGCGCTGTTCAGCAGACACAGGTAGAAACAGTCTCTGAAAGAAAAAACAAAAAGGAAGGTGTTTGTAAGAATGGGTAACAGTGGGTTCTGTGACAGAATAATTCATGTAAGTCAATAGTAAAACATACTTGATCTGTTATGACCTTATCTTCCATCCGTGGAACTTGGGAAATAATGTTTTCTCACTGAGAAATGTATGCTTTGGACAGTTCGTGCTGCACTAACCTGTAACAGTTGTTATTATAGGGGTTGTAACTCCCAAGGGTGGTGAGGAAACTCAGGCCAATGGCATAAGAGAAGAAGATCTGAGTGCCAGCATCCATCCACACCTATAAAAGGTCCAGCAAGAGCAGTCATACATCACGAGTGAAAGGTTTGGACAGATAAATTCTGTAAGAGTGGATGTGTCCAAACCTAAGTTTAGTGGGGGGGTTTTTTTCTTCTTTTTTTTTTTACCTGGGGATCTGAGAGGCGAGAGATATCAGGGTAGAGGTAGTAAATGATTCCATCGATTGCTCCCGGTAGGGTAACGCCCCGTATGAGCAGAATGAAGAGCATGAGATAAGGGAAGGTGGCTGTGAAGTAGGCTGCCTGAAAGAAAAGGTGATGCACACGAGACAGTTTGGTGAGGACCAAGTCACCTTGTTTTACTATGAATGCACACAAATACCAATTTTCTTTTGCTTTACAGTTTTTTTGGACATCTGGAAGTTTCTTCTTTTTTTTTCAAAATAGTTTTGATGGGGATAAGACCACAATACAATAACGGGTACACAATTGTAGTAGTACAGGGGTACACAAATAAAGGGTTGCCATTTGTGAAAGAAATTGCCAATACATCCCCTCAATATGTATTTAATTTTTTCTTGCCGTCCTTGAGATAGAAGGACACTTAGCAGACTTCCAGTGTGGAAAGTTTTCTTAGTGAACCCATGACCATAGTGTTAAGGAACTCAATCGAAACTTGCTGTTCTTAACCTGATTTAAAAATTGTGATTGGAAAATCTAACATTATGTTCAGTTTACTGGTAATTTCCCTCAAGTTGTCCTTAAAGTTTCTGATTAATAACATGACATTTTTCCATGGAAACTGCCGGCTGGATCTGGTTGTCCAGTGGGGTTAGGGGGTCACAGCTGCCGGCCATCGAGAATGTATTGGTTACTGAGTTTGTGTGGACCAATCTCCCGGGCAGGTGAGATTTAACACCTCCCCTGGTGTGGTTTAACACCTCCCCTGCCCCCAGTTTAGGCAGGTTTCTAGAATGTGTCACTGCTTTTTTCTTCAGAGCATCTTTGTAGGTTGTATGAGTAACTTCTGCCTTGTGCTGGACTGCTTTAAAGGAGCTTTTCTTTAGGTAAATTGACTATTACTTACTTGCTCGGCAGACTTTAGTTTTTCAACAAAAAAGAAATCCCAAAAAACATATAATAATAAAACCACAAGTGAACCTCATACCTGAAATCTGATCCTGAAGCCCAAAAACACCAATGTGGCCATCGGGAATCTCAGGTGACCAAGAAAGACTAGTCATCACATTCTTATTCAAGCAGTGATGAGATGAAAAATTAGGATAACTTTAAATCCCCCAAATCATTCCAATGGAGCTCTCATGAAATCTTTTTTCTACATGAAGTAAAAACATAGAATAGATGGGGGGGGGGAAGGCTACTGCCATCATAAAGACTGGCTTATGTTACTGCTGTATTAATTGTTTAGACAAATAGTGGAATCGCAATTAGACCTTTCAGTTAGCCAGTTAAGCCCCCCTGGGGATCAGATACGTGACAGACTAAAGAAAAGTATTGGTGGTTTATGGTGCAGACTCGGCCCTTCCAACTTAACTTAAGTCGAGTCAGCGACTGTCCAGCATCAATTTCAAATAATCAAAAGTTAAAGCTGTGATAAAGGCCAAAGAGTCCTGCTTTGAACTTCTAATCAGGATCCTAATCAGTAATACTGGGAACCATGACAAAAAACATGGTGTGAGTTCTCCGAATGGGACAGAGGATCACAGGAACTAAGCTCCCCAGTCTGAATGCTACGAATGCGGAAAGGTCAGCGTGGTTCGTAGGGATCCAACCCAGCCAGAACAAAACATTCTTTGTCTGTCCGCCGTCTTAAAGGAGACACTGAGTTATCAAAGCCAACACCAACAGACATAACAGCTTTTATTTCCCAGGGCTGCTTCATTCATCACTCCCCCCTCCATCAATGCACCTCCAACACAAGAGACTCTGATATATTCATACCTTTTGTATGAATATATAAAAAAAATTACATTAGCTACCTGTGTGAGGAAGTAAAAAAAAAAGAAGAAGCTGTTCAGTGGTGAAGTTACTGACCTTTCCTGTTGATTTGATTCCCTTCCAGATGCAAAAGTAGCAGATGACCCAGCTCAGGATGAGACACAGGACCAGTTCCCACCTCAAACTGCCCAACTGGTCAATACCGCTAGAGATATTTAAGACCCGCCGTCTGGTCAAATAAAAAAAAGAGCGGGGGATGGCATAAGTGGGGCAGGAAAACACATAAAACTGATGTCAAGGTCAGATGGTGACCGAGTGAAAGGGAAGAGAGGTAAAGGAATGATAGAAATAAATGTGAGGATTGGAGTAATGGAGAGGCAGACGGGATGCAAAGATAAAGGGAAAGATGGGAGAAGAAAAGGAAGGAGCTGAAAGGAGAAGAAAAGATTGGGTTTAGTTGAACTTGTTTGACTTTATGCTTACTGCCAGAACTCCACAACTGGAAGGGTGGTGTTCATTCTAGACTCTATGCTCATATTCTTATGGTTGTCGAAGCACGATTCTAGTACAGGGGGAAACAAACACAAAAAATTGTGAAATAAACTAATTTCCCAAAGTAAGAATGAACTGCATTTCATGTGTTCTTGGCATTTGTTATGCTATTCTGTGTTTCATACAACGTGACTTTTTCTTATGTTATTTTCAACAAGAAAACACTAAACTAGTGCTCAGATTCCTCCTCAACACCACAACACTCTGTTTTACAAGGACCCACCTGTGTTCCAGTAGTTGCCACAGGAGGCCCAAGGCAAGTCCGAACCGAAGGATGAAAACAGGTAAAAGAACGCCCACGTGAGGATCATGACGTAAGAGGTGGCACTGAACGCGATGATCAGGTGGCTGGCGTAACCCATGCCTGAGTGAGAGAAATATTCAGAACGAATGTTGACAAGGCACTGAAAGAACTGTGGAGTTAGCGATGACTGCAAAAGAAAACCAAGTACAACCTAACATTCTAGCATTCTCATTCTTGCAAATTCATTGATTTATGGGGGGTTTGTACTCTTTTTTAGACCACTGTTGCTCTCATAAGATTTCACAATGTAACACAGATCAGCATTAACTAACATGAATTCTTTTACTTCTGCGCATCCGTCCTTAAGTGTAAATTGTTGCTTTTTGAGTTTTTTTTTTTCTCCTGTATGTCATTCCGTCACTACGTTTACTGTATTTAGTTTTGTTGCCTAAAAAATGCTTTTATTCAGTAATGATATACAAACTTCTTCTATTCTGCAAACCCTGATGATTCTGTAATGGTCACGTTACGCAGTAATTATGCAACCAACATTGCGAATTTGATAAAGATCATAAAGGAATTGTTTTCATACCCATTTTGAACATATGCCTTAACATTTATGGGAGGTTGTCTCAACAACATAATACTCTGAAAAAGTCCGGTCTATGTTGAACATGTTTGGGTAAGCAGTTTTCCTATTCACTTCAAGTTTTCCTTTTAGATCCTCCTTCCAAAGAAGTGTTCAGGGAACATCAGTCATTCCCAGAAGCCCCCACACCGCCAAGTAAAACGTCCACCTGTGGGAATCACTGAATGTAGACAAAAGTTTGCTGGCTTTGTTTCCTACCCGGCTCCCTCAGGTAGTTTTACATATGGCTCCACTGGCTGACTTCATACATTTTGTGCTTTGTGCACAGACACAAAGCATCCTCTACATCCATGTATTCATTCTCTTTTTTAGAATGATTTATTTAAATCGATTTGTAAACCACCTACAGCACAGAATGAAATCCAGCTTTAAACACTCCTACACTAGACTGACTTTTATTATAACTAGGAAGCCAGATCCATTTTCTGTATAGTCTATAATAGTGTTCATTCATGCTGTCACACGACAGCTGACCTCTTTTCAGAAAAGCAACAATACGTATTTACATCAAGTAATTGGCTGAAAGTGAGGCCTTAACAAACTGTAACATCTACATTTACTTTGCTTATTAGATTCACTAATAGAGAGACTTCTATCTTAGAAAAAAAACAGACCAGTCAGGCTGAATTTTGAGGAAAATCCTCATGACACTAAGTTGCGTCACAAACGCACAATGAGGATCATTCAGAAAAAGGTGACATGAGTCAAACCACATGTCAGAGATCCTGCTGACAACCTCGTCCAAACGGATGCCATCAACTCGTCTGAACTCATAACTTAGCTCCAACTTTGACCAGGTACACAGAAATAGTTTTTAGTCTCCTTAGAGTCAGTTAGAGTCAGTAGTCCTCTACTGAACCCGACAAATCTGTGTGTTTTCACAGAATCAGCCCAAATAATGCAACACAGAAAAGAACACATGCAGACACATGAATGCAGGAATGATGTTTAAAGTCTTTTTTACACTATGATGTAAATGTTCATGTGCATCTTCGGGTTTTTAACTTGTGGGTTAAACCATAGGCCCGGAAGGGAGATGGATCCTGTCTGCCTCAGACAGAAATTGTATGTCACAGACATACAACCCATACTCACCTTCTGTTAAACTTTGATTAAGGTGCACAATTAACATTAGCGAGCAGGTGGCAGACATGCAGTATTTTGAGCTGTGAAATTAAGTTAGAACAGGCAAACTCCGCAAAAAGGCAAAAGCCAAGGTTCTAAACAGAGATGTTTGTTATGAGCCGTCAACTATGAATACAATGCAGAGTACAACAAAGACATGTCTCAGACTAACAATGGTGCATAGAAATTCTATTTTGTTCTAGCACTGACCACATATTATTTTTTTAAATATTGAAATCATATTAGGAGTTGGACAATTAATACTGAGTATCAAAATAAGGCACCTTAATTTCCTTTTTTAATTTCTATTCTATCTTATCCATTGATTTATCAATTTTTAAGTACCAAATGTGGCTTTCTAAGTTGGAAAAGCTCACGATGTGCACGGATAAAAAGAGGAAAGGTGATGAACTGCTCTACATTAAGCGGTAAATATTTTCAATGCGGTTTTTCAAAGTGTAAATAAGTTTTTGTTTACCTTGGAAGAGCGGACAGATCCCTCTCCAGCAAGTGATCCCCCCCTGGCTGGTGTACTGCCCTAATGCTGTCTCGAGGAAGAACAGGGGTATTCCGCATGTGAATAAGAAGAGAATGTATGGGATGAAGAAGACACCTGCAAAAAAAAGACCAAAAGACACAGATTTACTCAAGAGAGGGGATCCATAGTATGCAAACGCCAAGTGATGGGGAAAATCATTTCTGTGAGCCCGGTTTCTGAGTAAAAGCACCCACCTCCGCCGTTTTTGTAGCACAGGTATGGGAACCTCCACACATTCCCAGGTCCGATGATGGCTCCCATCACAGTGAGGATGAACTCTGTTTTGGTCCCCCAGTGTCCCCGCTCCTCCTCCACTTTAGTCTTGTGTGGGTATTTTTTTGGGACCTCCACCATCACAGCTTGCCCATTCTTTCCGTTAGAAGCCATCTCCGATCTCCAAAACCGTTTTTTTCCTCCCTGCTCGGTCAAATTTCTGCGTCCACACCTGGATATTGCGCACTTGGCCCAAAACACATCTCACGAGGCAACTTGTTATTTAGGTTTTCCCCCACTCCTTTTTAGAAATTAATCCTAACTCTTAATAGTTTGTGATAAACCTCTCCCTGTCTCGATTGAGGATATATGGACTAAGACACCAACTATTTAAGGTGCAGACGCGCTCATTGAGCGTCTTTTAGGAGGAGGGTGTATGTGTGTGCGGTGGAATTAGTTTTGATTGGTGGGGCTGCGAGGTTTCTGCCCCGCCTATATTCGTCTTCAGTAAAACGCGTTTGACATCTTTGTAAACCATTTGCGTACAGTAGAAGCTGTGTTCCAGTCATGCGTAATTTGATATGGTCGAGCTCAATGAAAATGCGAATACGAGGTTTTCAATAATAACTTATGAAGCCCAACGCAAAGTTCAGTGTTAGGACCAGACGGTTTATCAAATTGCATATTGATGCAAATTGCAGTGATGCATTACGTTTTCGTGCAATTTGAAAAGATTACCTGACACATAACGAATACAAAATCTCTTTAAACAACCAATGAGAGTCCGAACACAACAGCAGCTATTCTCCTCCAGAAAAACGATCTGCTTTTGAAATGCTGAACATCTTTCTTGGCTCAAACAGATATCCATGATACTCACTTGGGGCTACAATTAAATGCTTCAAACAAATGTATCTGTGTTGTACGTGAGGCCGGGATTCTGCAAGCAGACGGAGCAAAACGGAGACAGGAGACCAAACCGAACTGACTGCTCAGATTTTATCTTCTTCAAACCAGCTGTCTGCCTACTGACTACCCAAAAGTTCAAGCCAGGAAAAAAAACAAGAAAAAAACACGTATTACAACACATTTAAGTCACATTTATATTAGTCATAAGGCTTTAATTAATAATTTATATAAGACCTAAAATACCCTCTTCAGTGCTTTGAAAATATGTACACATTTTTTAACAACCCATTTATCTTAACAGCTATGCTGGCAAGGCTTTTTATTTTTTTTTACTGAGGTAGTATAATAGTTTATAAGGTTTGAAAGAGTCCTAATGAATTCCAAGAAATGTTAAGCATGAAAAGGATTGTAGAATTACTTCATTAAGCTGTAATAGTGTTTGCTATAAAGAATTAAAAAGATGCTGATCCATGCTGAAGATTGCATCAATTAAACAAATTGTAAATAACTGGTTTGGAGCTGGGCGGCACGGTGGTGTGGTGGTTAGCACTGTTGCCTCCCAGCAAGAGGGTTCTGGGTTCGAATCCCGGGGGAACCAGGACCTTTCTGGGTGGAGTTTGCATGTTCTCCCTGTGTCTGCGTGGGTTCTCTCCGGGTTCTCTGGCTTCCTCCCACAGTCCAAAAACCTGCATGTTAGGTTGATTGGAGATTGGGGAAATTGCCCTTAGGAGTGAATGTGAGTGTGAGTGGTTGTTTGTCCTTGTATGTCCTGTGTGTGGCCCTGCGATGGACTGGCGGACTGTCCAGGGTGTACCCTGCCTCTCGCCCGTTGACCACTGGGATAGGCTCCAGTTCCCCCCGCGACCCCATGAGGGAATAAGCGGTATTGATAATGGATGGATGGATGGATGGTTTGGAGCTGAGAAAACAGAAAAATTACCCTGAACAGCAGCGACTGGAGTAGTCTGTAGAACCTAAAACGTGGCAGAAGGGGCTCGTATCAAACCTATAGTTACCCCACAGTTCATTCAGTTGATGATTGTGTGGCTTTTCTGTTTATAAGCTGTGAAAATACAAATATCTGTAACTGCTGCTGTAGTTCCTGCTGCAACAGCAGATATATGTGCTGCTGCAGCAAAATGTGCATGGTTAGCAACATGATTCTAAATCCAACCAAAGGGAAAAGGAGACAACACAGAAGGTTCATGAGGTGGAATCCCAATGAAGCCCAGTGGAATCACCTCTGCAGTGCGACCGAGATGAACAGTGGCTCTTAATTTGGATCCACTTTGTCACAAACATTACTCATCACGTCTCGGACAAAGAGATATCAAACTAGTCACCAGCACTAACCTGACACAGGAAATTGCGGCGTCTCTTTTATGTCCATTTATGTCTTCCCAAGTTTTACATTCCTCTTCATTTTCCAATGTCTGCTCTATCATGTTGTTCATTTTCTACCTTACACCATCTTAACATTTCTGCAAACCCTGACCATTGTTTGTCCTCTCAGATCAAAGCATTCAGGCAGGAGGGAAAGTGAATCTCAGAATCTGACTGTTTTCATACCTGAACCATCAGCAATGGCCAGTACCAAGTCCCGGTCATTCATTCTCCATCTCCACCGGCTTGTTTCAGGGCACTGAACCTGTTTCCTCCAGGCCAAACTGGAAAAGATGTTTGTTGTTTTTTTTTTTAAATATTGGTGACCTGAGTTAGACATAGTATTTTTGCGTGTCTATCTACGACCAAGCAAGAGACTGTCGCTTTCTGAATCGTGGGGTTGGAAACATAATAATACCAATTTATGGAATGGGAAGAGCCCAAGTCATCTTTGTGGAGGGGTAGGGAGGTTTCTGCCGGAGAAAGTAGTAAATAGATCTCACCAGATCAGCAATACATGTCCAAGAAAAAGTGCAGTCATAATTTTCTTATCTGTGTTCCACACTGTGTCTTGGAAGTGTAAATAGAGACCCAGTTTATCCGAAACATTCAATGCCGTCTCTGGAGATTATGGAAATGGAGTCTGCAGCGAATATGTACTCTCCAATGATAAGGGTAGAGGGATTTTAGTTTATCAAGCAATACTGCCCTTGCAATTAACCATAACATTAAAAATATTCTCCTTTTCACTGAAGAGTCATGTGTTGAATGTTACAGGGAGAAAAATAAGCGAATGGTGTTAATGTTGTTCTCAGCTGTGGCACACTGGCCATCAGGTTCATGGCAAAATGTGACGCAATTACATACCAATTCAGAATTGCCTCCTATTTTCCATTTGTATGCACTGTGGTGCATTTGCGACGTCTCAGAGTTTCCACCCTTTCACCCCCCCCCCCAAAAAAAAACAGTAAATCAGAACGGCAAATTCCCAATTTGCCCAATTACCCTTTGCTGAGTGCAGATACAGTAAGTTCAATTTCGCCATACTGTTAGTAAAACGGATGTTTTAAGTGTGTTAAAAAAATGATCAGGGTTATGTAGCTGACTCACAGAGATGAAGCAACAGCGGTTTCCCAAGTTTTTTGGAATGGCTGAAAGTGAAAGTTGCCAAAGAATGGAGGGTGACACACAGCAAGGGGGGTCACTGTCTGGGTCGGTAGTTTTGCTAAATATATTCTCTTTCTTTGTGGAGTTTGCATGCTTGCAAGGCTAATTGGTGACCCCTAAATTCCCCACATGAGGGGATCTGTCATGCACGTCCCTGATGTGTATGTAGCCTATGAAGTTTCTACCCACCAAAACATCATAAACAAAACGAAGCTTCATGTCTGTTTAGGATATGACAGAGCTAAACTAATAAAATGGAAATAAAAAATCTAAATCTAAAAACCTAAAGGCGTTTAAGGTAAGTTTGGAAGGGGTCACCACACTACACCAGTGTTGGAACTGGAAATCAGTGAGCTCATTCTGGCTCCCTGAGAGGAGGGCGGGGCTCCCAGCATCATCACCCCGGCCATCTCTGCTTCATTGTACGGGCTGCTGCTGATGCAGACATCATAGCGGAAGAGACGATTTAGAAAAAAAAAAAAGGGAAAAAAAAGAGATAGGGGAAAAAAAAACAGGAATAAAATGCCATGGACCGCGTTTCACACAGATTAGGACTTCACGCCAGGAAAAAAGCCATGACGAGGTAAGGCTTCGGAAGCGTTATCCCGGCCGCCGTTAGTCCCGTCGCCGCCTGCCTTCTCGGTGACTGGGACTAGCGGGCCTTTGCTGGTATAGTCAGATTCCCCATCTTTAGTGTCGCTGCGAAATTTCCGATCGTTCTCCCCTCTTTATTTCCCTTTCCCTTCGAAAAAAACGGAACGTTTCGGAAGCGGACGCGGTCTAGCGCGCGTCAGAGAAGCAGACCGGGATCCCCTTTTTCCATTTGGCCGCATAGCAGCGCTTTAGCACTGCATGTTGGAAGTAACAGAGCCTGGCCTACACCAGAAATATGTTGGGGACGTAGCATGGGTGCCCCTGGGGCTATTCAGCCCCCCCTCCCATCCTCCCGAGAAGAGCCTCCCTCCACGGGACGGAAGCAATAACCGGTTGTGCGCCTGTTGACGCGTTTGGAAAGCTTTTGGAAAGCGTATTTGTTTATAAAAGATGCCAGCTGGTACTGCTCGCGCCCCCCCAGGTGAAGCCAAGTGTACATTGCCCCCCTTTATGATTTGGCACGTGTAGTATCTTATGCAGTCATTCCTTGTGTTTTGACGGACCACCGGATATTATTTCCGGCCATCCTCTGAGAGGATGCTGCAGTGATGCTGCAAGAGGATGATGCTCAGGCAGGGCCCTCTCAGGGAGCACAGCGTTAGGCAGGCCTGATCTGACAGACATTGACCAGCTGAGAAGGAAACTGTCACTCTGTTGTTTCAGGGTCAGCACATATGTAGGTAAGGGCTAGGCAGCGGTTAATTGTTTATGGATTCGCGTTGGACATTCACAACGCTTTACAAGCCTGTGCACAAGTACAAGTTTACTCGGTCATGCTCGGATGCAGACCACCACAGGTGAAAGTTTAGTTTATTTTTTGTTTTTTCCTATTTGTCTCGGCCAGTGCATTTATTTATTTGTTTTGTTGCGCATGGTGAGGATCGTTTTATTTTACAAAATTCAGTTTTTCTTAATGCTTTACTCCTTATCCATTGCTCTTTCCTGCCCTCTTTAAAAGTGGTCTCGATCAATAGCTCTTAAGGCTTTCCGAAGGGATTTCTAAGATTTCTTGCTGAACGTGAAGTCCAGTTCCTATACCGTCATACCAGTGCCTATACCAT